TCTAGTTTCATGACAATAACTTGTGTTCAAGTGTATGGATCTCTTGAAATTGTACTGCAAGGTACCATACCATAAAGGGAAGGCTGGGATTGAGTTTGGGGGTGATGAATCATAAGGGGGTTCAAAAAATTTGGGGGAGGGATTTTTTTTCCCTTTTTTTTTCTTTAAAATTTTCCATTTTAAATTGGTTATTTCTGATTTATTAATAAAAGCAAATAATAATGATATGGTTTGAAAAGGTAAATTAAAAGTATTTAAGTTCTTAGACCACATTCATTCTGTGTCAGAAACCTATGCTGTGTCAAATATTTAATCACAATCCAAATTCAGTGCTGTATCAAGCTTGAATGTTGTGTCCATACTTGCCCCAACTGTTCAGGGTTCGACCTCTGCGGTCATATCAAGCTGCGCCCAGCGGAGCATTTTATTAACAACTGCAAGGACAATGTGAAATTGAGACAACACCAAGTACCTATCATGATACCCTATGATAAATAAATAGACAACCTTCGAGTTTGTTGCATTTCCGTCAAAAAACTTTGGTTTTAGTGAACATCATTCATGTGTTTAGGGGCGTCGTCACTTCCGTTCCCATGTTGAGCGATCTTTTGAAAAAAATAATTAATATGATGCTATATTGCACAAAAAAATGAAAACACGTTATAAATTTAATGCGTCCAAAGTGCTTTTCTGGATTTACCTTCATCAAGAACGCTCAAAGCCGAATATTTGAAAGCCAAGGATGTATAAGTACCGAAAACGTTGAACAGCTATAAACCAAAAAGGACCTAAAAACAATAGCCAAATCAATCTTAGGCCAACTTTGCCTAAGGGAGTTGAAACCTTACGGGCAATTTTAGAACAAATTAGTCGGGAAAGTAAATTCTTATAAATGATAATCATCACTGCTGTCATTAGGGAAATGTGATATAGTACCTATGGAATAAATATTATTTCTAGTTTATCCTGCATAATGACGATCATAAAGACGCTTGATGATCTTTGATAGTGCAGGGATACAGGCGGTCCCCCCTATCTGGTAAATGACGTCATTAAGGCGCGCATAAATGACGAACTTTTCCGGTGAATGACATAACTTGAAAAGTAGTCTAGTTGTTTGTTTAACCTGTTTATCCCTTTGTAAAATTCAAAGCTGTCAGTATACAGTATCATAAATAGTGAAGAGAAATCAGATGATATGTGGAGATACCCGGATCGGTTTGAAATACAATACTAAAAATGTGAGCCCTTGCATTAAGCACGTATGGCTGTTGTAAAGTCATGATCATCTATATATCATGTTACAAGGATCTATAATACAAATCCATATAAAACAATTTCCCTTTCTAATTTTACCAGGCTTTTTTTTCTCAGCATTGTAACCAGATCTACACATATCATTTTATTTGGTCTGAATGGACTGTTCCTATTGAACTTATGTTGGTACTATTTAAAAAAGGTTTATCAGCCATTCATCTAAACTTTTGTTTGTAGTTATAGTATAAATGAGGACTTGTTTTCTAATTTATACTGTTTAATGTTGTATTGTCTCACGGTCCTTTGTTATAACTATTTATACAATACTATAGGATGTCTATGGCCTGTTGTCTACTAGTTCACATTCACATCATTAATCATTTTACTTAAATAGATGTGTGTCTTATTAGTAATCATACCGTTTCCCTTTTTTACATGTGTACATCAAAGTCTAGTATGAAAAGTTTTAGTCACTATTGTTGATTGGTTGTTAGTTGCTTAATGTCCAGTGGCAAATATTTCATACATGTTCAGAGCGAGAGCTACTATTTTTATCAGATTCTCCATCAAAAGGTTCAAGTATACATTGCATGCTGGTCAATTGAAAAATTTTCAGGTTAAATGTTAGTATCACATCTTTAAATTTTTGACATAATTTGTCTTTTGTTGAAAACTTAGTATTTGTCTTGTTAAAGTTGTTGTTTGATTGCTGTCTGATTGCATATACCCCCACCTCTCCTTTTATTCTTCATATTAAACCAGTTTACCATTACCAGAATGCACCAGAAAGAAATACTCCAAGATCAGTATTCACACTATATCCATGTGTACACATGTATTTTCAAATTGGTTTATTAGACATGTTAGAGCTATATGCATATTAATCACAAGGAAATTGACATTATACATACAGACATGAATTGAAACAAATTTAAGTAATATAATATGATGAGGAATTTAAGTGAATGACTTATCTAGTATAAGGAAAAATACTGTTTTCTTTAATATTGCTTGACCAATCACATGAATTTACATTGTTTAAGTGTTATTTTCAGTATTCTGAAATTGGATGTTAATCCAGTGGTATAAACAGTTTATTTAATTTATAACTTTGGGCTTTAGCACTTGTCGACTTTGTGAATGCTTAGATGTCTTTTTTGAAGTCTGTATACTTCTAAGGGCAAGTTTTTTACGATGCATGAGTGAAGGAGTAAGGGTCTCATCATCTTTCTGTAATGATTCACTTAGGCAAACACGGTGAAAACTTGCAAAAATACCTTCCCTGTCAGCCTCAATAGTATTTTAAATGTTGGCATCGTCTTTGAATATGTCACTAAAGGTTTGGAGGAAGACATCCTGAACTTCTGGCTTTGACTTTACACAAAGAAGCATTGACAAAAAATTTGTGGATTCATCAAACATGGTTATCATTGGATCATCTTCAAATGCTACTATTGTTGACTGGTATGCATTTGGAAATACCTCATCTAATGGAATCTAGGCAACTGAAGATATATTTTCTTTCTCTGTTACTGCTGTCTTATTGGTTCTGTGATCTGTTGCTAAAAAAGTAATACACATTGAATTATTTATTTATTTATTGATTGATTGTTGTTTGCTTAATCATAATTTCCACTGAGAAAAACTTTATTCATAATCGGAACAAGAAAAAATTAACAAAAAATCAACACTACTTATTATATACATGTACTATAAAGTGGGTCGAGCACATGTTTGGGCACAGATATACTTTACTAATTCATATGTTTCTGGTTTTACTTAAATATAGCTGACTTTTTTTTTATAATAGGCTTATTGCATTAAATTCAACTTTTCTGAAAAGTTATTTCATTTATGTGTTTGCCAAAAAAGAAGAACATATACCATTGTTTACCAGTCTCTGAATAATTTTCTATTTTTTTTTTTTTTTTTTTTGATCAGTTAGTTTTATCAGATTTTAGGTCTTTATAAATAAATTGACCAGGTGTATTTTTGTCGAGCCTGTGACTTGTGTCGCAAAATCGAGACATAGCGATCCTACATTTTGTCAGCGTCGGCGGCGGCGTCATCAAATATTCACTCTGTGGTTAAAGTTTTTCAAGTTTTGATAACTTTAACAATCCTGGATTTCTACCAAACTTGACAGAAGCTTGTTTATGATCATAAGATAGTATCCAGAAGTAAATTTTGTAAAAAAAAAATCCTGTTTATCCGTATTTTACTCATAAATGTCTTAGTTTTTCTGCCAGTTAACATTACATTCACTTTGTGGTTAAAGTTTTTTCAAATTTTAATAACTTTCTTAAACTATCCTGGATTTGTACCAAACTTGGACAGAAGCTTGTTTATGATCAAAAGCTAGTATCTAGAATGAAATTTTGAAAAAAAAAAATTCCTGTTTTTCCGTATATTACTTATAAATGGACTTAGTTTTTCTTCCAGTTAACATTACATACAGTCTGCAGTTAAAGTTTTTAAACATTTATTAGATTCATAAACCATCCTGGACTCTTACCAAACTTGAACAGAAGCTTCTTACATTCGAAAGATAGTATCTAGAGGAAAATGTTGAATAATTATTTCCCCATTTTGTTGAGCCTGCGACTAACAGCAAAAGTAGGCGAGACACTGGGTTCCTCAGAACCTTTACGATTTTTTTGTCTCTCTTACCGTTTTTGGAATAATTTATTTTTGATAGAAAAAATATGTCTAATAGAATATTTGATATTTCTAATCATTTTTATTTTTTAAATATTTTCCCTACATCAAGGATCTTCTTTTATTAATCTTTTCCCCCTGTTTTCACAATTTTTAAAAATTCAATTGTTATTTAAGATTAATTGGTTCTTTAGAAGTTGTTCTTTTATTTCTCAATTCACCTTTTAAATTCTTTTCATGTTGCCTTGAAGTGTGCACGGAACCCTGAGATAGAATTAAGAATCTTATCAGAATAAGGACATTGGTTTCCAGCACTACTACAAGCACTTAAGTCTTGTCAACCCCTTTGACTTTTTTGGGGGGGATTCTTAACAGACTGTGGAACAAATTCCAAATCATCGCCAGTTCTACAGTTGTATCATTATCTGTGTATTCCCCTAACAAAACATCTAAATCGTCGTCCCATGATGAAAAAATCGGATTTGGACATGATGAACAAAACAAGAGAAGCATGAATTATGAAATAATAATGTATCAAAAGTACACTTTAAAGATGCAGGGAATACCGGTGCTAACATCTTTGACAATACATAGTTTATTACTAAAAAACAATCACTTGCTATAAAAAATATTGAATCGTGGGACCCCCTCAATTAATGCTAAAGAAAAACGTTGTCAGAAATATTTACCTGAGACTATACAATGTGAATAGCTGTTTACTATTCAGAACATTTTTGTCGCTTTCCATGAAAACAAACAAAATGTACAAGGTGTTCCGATAGTTTTAAAAATCTCTTTCGGGAATGCTGGGAATGAGTTGACACGCGTGAAGTAAGCGAGATTTTCTAGTCGCGAATCTCTTTAGTATATATGTCTCTGAGCAAGTTTATCAGACAATGAACAAAGGAAAAGGCAGACAATACCCAACACAAAACACTGATATTTGATGATACTGTAAGTTGGCAGTATTTATAAGCTTAAGTAAAACTGAAATAACATAATAAATCAGATTGGTATCACATAGTTGATATCTGTACAATTATTTCATATGTTTTTAAAGCTGTATGTTTATATATTAATTCAAGGTTTGAGTGAAGATGCACTATCTCACATTCCAAGTAATACAGAGTTGCTAAGTTTGTCTGTTAATTGTGAGACACGCATGATACATGATTTAGCTCTTCATCTTGAAATGGAAGAGACAGAATGGAGTGATATGGTAGAAAATTACCCAAGAAATACACAGATGGTCAAGTTTTTAACACTTATTGGTTTGAGAGAGAACAATGGAATACGTTTTGGAGATTTGGCCAAAGGCTTAAGAGAATTGAGGATAACAACACATACCTTATGTATGGTAAGTAATCTATAATACTGATACATTATTCCTTTTATTCATGTTTTTATGGCCCTGGCAACTTAGTTTTGGTGCAATATAGCTTTACCCTTGTCCGTTATTCCGTCATTATGTCATACTGCAACGAACAGTTCTACAGACTTTTTGTCTAAATACCTTCACATATTGAGCTAAATTTTAGTATGTGAGTCTACTTTGATGAGTTACAGATCAAGTTTATATTTGGTTGTGCTCCGCTGATTTTTGTCAAAATTGGACTTTCAAAATTTTGTGAAAATGACAGTTTTACGAAAAAAAAATTCTGAACGCATTCACATATTGAGGTGAATTTTAGTATGTGAGTCCATTATGATGAGTAACATATCGAGTGTACGTTTGGTTCTGCTGCTCTGATTTTGCCAAAAAAACATGCTTTGGACTTTGAAATTTCGTGAAAACAACTGTTATACAGACTTGTTTTGTAAACGCCTTCACAAATTGAGCTGACACAGCTCGAGCTGCTACTCAGACTGAGAAGAAAGTTCATGAACCAGGGGTACGTCAAAGAACGTCTCGTCCTTTTTCTAAAAAAAGTTCATCGGAAGATACCAAGACCTTGTTGATAAATATTCCGTATCAACTTCACAAATAATACATGATGGTCTTGAAGTATAGATTATAGGTACCGATGTTGTTTATCATCTTAATAACGTGTAATAGTAATCTTTTATTTTTCTTTGTAAATTATTACTTTAACTGTTTAGTCTTTTTTTGGTAATATCCATTTGACGTGGCTCGGTACTTATGTATACATCCCATCATTGTGTTATTTTGCTATGGTAAATTTTTGTACTCTTGTCTTTCGTTTTTGTTAATGTGCTTTTTCCATATGCCTTTTTGTTTTTCTTTGTTTTTCTTTGTATACATATTTGATTATTTTTATAGTGATTAAGATTATAACACAATGTTGACTGCTGTACGTACCCCTATTTTTGACATTTTTGCCTGTTGTGTCTGTTTGTTTTGTTCACACATCGTTGTCAATATAATGGAATTTAATGCGACTGTCATACAAGTGAGAGGTTTAGCTAGCTATAAAACCAGGTTAAATCCACCATTACTACATAAGAAAATGCCTGTACCAAGTCAGGAATATGACAGTTGTTATCCATTTGTTTGATGTGTTTGAGCTTTTGATTTTGCCATTTGCTTCAAAGGGACTTTCTGTTTAGAATTTTCCTCGGAGTTCGTTATTTTTGTTATTTTACTTTTTACACCTCAAATCAAATGTATTGAATTTGTATCGGATTGGAAATTCAAATTTAGATGCATGTACATAAATTGAACAGTTTCGGGTTCAAAATAGACAAATCAGTTTCTAGCCCTTAAATGACTATTGTAACTCAATCATGTTTTTTATAAACTTTTTATATATAAAAAAAAACAATCATCAACAAAACAACATGTTAAATAAGTTATCTTCTATAAGGAGATCTCTCTCTATAAGAGTTATTACTCTAAAATAGAGATTTAGTTTATTGTCATGCCTGCGAACCAGAATGCTAGATATAGGGATCCTCACTATATGCAATAAACTGTGTGTATTAAGCTTTATGTTTCAGAATGCTTCATACCTTGTAAATTGATGCCTAATGTTATGATGTTTCCGTATGTCAAAAGTCCATTGTCCTTGATCGCATTTTCATGGTTCAGTGAACATTCACTTTTTGTTGTATGGTCTGCTTCTAAGATGCTATAAGCCAGAGGTCAACTATAGTTAGTGTATTGCATGACTGTATGTGTACATATCAGTCTGACAATGTTTAGTTTTCCTGTACTTTATTGTTATGGTTCATCGGCCAATGTTATTTTTCCATGGTTAAATTAGTTTCCAAGATACTTCAATCCACAGGTTAACTATTTTTGATGGATAAAAAGATTGTAAATATAAATAAGAAGATGTGGTATGAGTGCCAATGAGACAACTGTCCATCCAAGTCACAATGTGTAAAAAGTAAACAATTATAGGTCAAAATACGGCCTTCAACACGGAGCCTTGGCTCACCCCGAACAACAAGCTATAACGAGCCCCAAAATGTCTAGTGTAAAACAATTCAAACAGGAAAACCAATGGTGTAATCTTCATTTGTACGAGAAACACTTATGAACCATACCAACAAACGATAACCACTGAACAACAGGCTCCTGACTTAGGACAGGTGCATACAAATGCAGCAGGTTTAAACGTTTTAACAGGCGCCAACCTTCACCCTAACCTAACAGTAGGGTAACATTACAACATAAAAAGATCACAATAAAACATCAATTGAAATGGCTTAACTCGATCAAAAAGAAATATAAACAAAAACAAGTAAAATACACTGAACGAACACTGAAATATACAATGTACATCTTCAAAAGTAAATGACTTAAAGGTTGATTAAAATACATTATTAACAAATCTTCCAAGCAGGTTCCTCGATCTAAATAACACCATGCCACCATGTTTTGTGTTTTTTGCAGCTTATATATTTATTTTAAATGCATGCAATAAGTACTGATAGATATAATGATAATACTAATAAATTTAACTGTATTCAACTGTTTTTCAATGTCCTTCTTTTTTCAATGTCCTGAAAAAGCATTTCACTTTAAATGTCTTATTTAGTCAGGTTTCGGAATCATAAAATTTACATGACCGATAGTTTCCAAATTTGGTCATTTCTTATGGTTATTGAATGGTCAGTTACCAATTCACTATTGTGTGATGCCTTATCCCTTGATATGACTTATAAATATACTCTATCGGAGTAACATGGCAACTGTCACCTATGTAGTTGGATCTGATAACCCTTATTCTGTAGCACATTATATCAATCATGGTTAAAAGTGAGGTTTCACTTTGCTCAGTCTTGAATTTTACATATAGTGTTTTGTATACATGTTTGTCATTTTTATACGACCGCAAAAAATTTTTGCGGTCGTATATTGGTATGACGTTGGCGTCGTCGTCGTTGTCGTCGTCCCCTGGCGTCGTCCGGCGTCGTCCGAAGACACATTGGTTTTCGCACTCTAACTTTAGTTTAAGTGAATGAATCTCTATGAAATTTTACCATAAGGTTCAATACCACAAAAGGAAGGTTGGGATTGATTTTGGGGGTTATGGTACCAACAGTTAAGGAATTAGGGGCCAAAAAGGGGCCAAAAATAAGCATTTTTGTAACTTCCAGACATAACTTGTGTGTTAGTGTATGAATCTCTCTGACATTGTACCACAAGGTTCCATATCACACAGGGAATGCTGGGATTGATTTTGGGGGTAATTGCTTAAAAATATTAGGAATTAGGGGCCAAAAAAGGGGCAAAAAACAAGCATTTTTCCAGTTTCATGAAAATAACTTGTGTGTAAGTGTATGGATCTTTCTGAAATTGTACTACAAGGTTCCATATCACAAAGGGAAAGCTGGAATTGAGTTTGGGGGTAATAGCCCAAAATGTTTAGGAATAAGGGGCCAAAAAGGGTCCAAAAATAATCATTTTTCTAGTTTCATGACAATAACTTGTGTTCAAGTGTATGGATCTCTGTGAAATTGTACCACAAGTATCCATATCACACAGGGAATGCTGGGATTGATTTTGGGGGTAATTGCCTCAAAATATTAGGAATTAGGGGCCAAAAAAGGGGCAAAAAACAAGCATTTTTCCAGTTTCATGACAATAACTTGTGTGTAAGTGTATGGATCTTTCTGAAATTGTACTACAAGGTTCCATATCACACAGGGAAAGCTTGAATTGAGTTTGGGTGTAATTGCCCAAAACGTTTAGGAATAAGGGGCTAAAAAGGGTCCAAAAATAAGCATTTTTCTAGTTTCCAGACAATAACTTGTGTTCAAGTGTATGGATCTCTCTGAAATTGTACTGCAAGGTACCATACCACAAAGGGAAGGCTGGGATTGATTTTGGGGGTAATTGCCTAATCTAACCGTGTATTTAGATTCTTAATTTTTGGTCCTGTTTTCAAATTGGTCTACATTAAGGTCCAAAGGGTCCAAAATTAAACTTAGTTTGATTTTAACAAAAAATGAATTCTTGGTGTTCTTTGATATGCTGAATCTAAACATGTACTTAGTTTTTTTTATTATGGGCCCAGTATTCAAGTTGGTCCAAATCGGGGTCCAAAATTAAACTTTGTTTGATTTCATCAAAAATTGAATATAAGGGGTTCTTCGATATGCTGAATCTAACCATATATTTAGATTTTTGATATTTGGGCCCGGTTATCAAATTGGTTCACATTGAGGTTTAAAGGGTCCAAAATTGAACTTTATTTGATTTCATCAAAAATTGAATTCTTGGGGTTCTTTGATATGCTGAATCTAACCATGGATTTAGATTTTGGATATTGGAATACCACAAAGGGATGGTAAGAATTGTCTTTGGGAGTTATGGCTCAAACCGTTAAGGAATAAGGTGCAAAAAAGGGGGGAAAAGGGTTTCCAGGTTAATGGACAATTCCTTAAGTACAAAACATAATTTAAAAGGCAGTGTAAGGTTGGTAATTGAAACTCATTTGAATATCTCACCTAAACTGCTTTTAAATTATGTATATTGGAAATTTGCCTAAAACTTTATTATTAATAAATTCCATTGGAAATTTGCCAAGTACTTTAGTTTAATGAACTTCATTGGAAATTTGCCAATATAAAATGTTGCTGATGGAGCTTTTTTGTTGATCTCACCTAAACTGCTTTTAAATTATGTATATTGGAAATTTGCCAAAAACTTTATTATTAATAAATTCCATTGGAAATTTGCCAATAACTTTAGTTTAATGAACTTCATTGGAAATTTGCCAAAAACTTTATTTTTAATAAACTTCATTGCATTTTTTCTAGTTTCCAGACAATAACTTGTGTGTAAGTATATGGATCTCTCTAAAATTGTACTGGGGGGGGGATTTTTTTCCCCAATTTTTTGGGGTTCATATTTTTTTTTTCTTCAAAGTTTTTTTAATCTTCAATTGCACAGTATTGCGCAATAACAAGAAATCTCCAATTGCACAGTATTGCGCAATTTCACAGTATTGGGCAATAGCAAGAAATCTTCAATTGCATAGTATTGCGCAAAAGCAAGAAATCTTTAATTGCACAGTATTGCGCAACAACACAGTATTGCGCAATAGCACAGTATTGCACAATAGCACAGTATTGCGCAATAGCAAGAAATCTTCAATTACACAGTATTGCGCAATAGCAAGAAATCTTCAATTGAAAAATAAATACAAATCTTTTAACCAATTTCAATGGGATTCATTTAAAGTCTTTAATTTTTGGGGGTTCTTACCTTGTATTACTTTTTTGGATATTGGGCCCCATTTTTAAATTGGTCTACATTGAGGTCAAAAGGGTCCAAAATTAAACTTTGTTTGATTTCATCAAAAACTGAATGATTGCAGCTGTATGATATGCTGAATCTTATTGTGTATTTAGATTTTTTATTTTGGGCCCTGTTTTCAAATTAGTCCATATTAAGGTTTGAAGGGTCCAAAATTAAACTTTTGATTGATTTCAACTAAAATTAAATTTTTTTGTGTTTTTTTATATGCTGAATCTAACCATGTTGTTAGATTTTGGATATCAGACCATTCTAGGTAAAATGAATGTCCCATTTCAAATTTTTAAGCTCTTTGACCACATTTATTTTGTGTCAGAAACCTATATTATGTCAAAAATTTGATCACAATCCAAATTCAGACAGTATCAAGCTTGAATATTGTGTCCAAACTTGCCCCAACTGGTCAAGGTTCGACCTCTGCGGTCGTATCAGGTTGCGCTCTGCGAAGCATTTTATTCGCTTTTGCCATGGCTTTGTCAGATTATCTGCGATTAAGTTTTGAATGTTGCTTTGGTATCATCTACCTCGTTTATCCTAAAGTGCTTTGAAAAAAGTTGATAGCAGTCAAACGATACTGAATCCTTGGAGACACAAGTCACACTTTTTGTTTTAAATATATGTTTTCATTTTTTTTACAAACTTTGGCAGAATGTTTTTATACAATTATTTTGGGCTGAGCATTAACATATGGTTTTATCAGCCTAATAGAAAGAGATCCTGAGGTGACAGACATATCTTTAATGCGGTTCTGTTGTATAAAATTACTGTCCATAAAGGATTAAAAACACTTGAAATGCAGAAGGCATATATGACATAGCTTTTACACAACCTGTTCATATTTTGGTTTGTAATGATCTTCAGTTTCATTGTTGATTATCATTGATTTTGGTTCAAGCTCCACTAATAAGTTAAGAAGTAAAACAACAAAAAAACTGAACTCCAAGAAAAATGAAAACGGAAGTCCTTTTACAATTGACAAAATCACAGAAGCACAGCTGTTGTTTTCAATACAGCAATGCATTTATTTTGAAACCATTTTTAAACATTGGCACAGTCCATTTATTAATGTCTTCTAAACACATGTTTAAATATAAATTCTTGTTTAAAAGGGGGAATGGAGAATTGAAATAAAAACAATGATTTTATTCCTGAAATGAGTTTTTTTTCGGATTGATCAAGTTCTGATTTGTTTTCCTTTAGCTTATCTTTTGACAATCGTCTTATGTAAACATTGTGTAAAATACACAAAAGCCGTTTCTGCTTAGTCATTGAAACAATTTAATGTCTGATATTATTCATTTGCAGATGAGGAGGAGAAAACAAGTGATATCTAGTAAGTAGTTAGAACTATAAAGACATTTACATTTTAAATGGCATATCTACATGATCTAGGGCTTCTCTGACTCTACTTAGGATTATTTGTACTTTTCTTATCACCTCAGCAAGCAGATTTGAAGAGGATATTAAGTGGTTTGTCCGTGTGATCGTCAAACATCTACAAATCATAGATCGCTCGTCATTTGGTGCAATATGTCCACACATGTAGGTGTTACTTAACCTTTGTTTTACACATGCATGGTTTTGGTTAAGTTTTGTGTTTATGTTTATAGAGTTCTGAACGTTTCTATGCAGATATATACATCTCTCACATTCAAATGATTCAAATTGAGCATTCCTGATGATGGCACATTCAGGTACATTGTTGACGTGTAATATCTTTTATACAGTTACTTATATGTAAACTTACTGTTTATGACTTATGATGAAAGTTAATCAGTTTATTAAGCTTTTGATTTTCAAATATTTTGACCTCGAGCATCACTGATGAGACATCATCGTCGAAATGCTCATCTAGTGCAGAAAAATTTGGTACCGTTTATGTTATAAATCAAGTAAACCCTTTGAACACACGTCACTTTTAAAGTTTTAATGTCACTGAGTTATATTTTATACTTCAATTAAAGCAAAGATGACCTCAGTTGTATTTAGAACTTATTGAACTACTTTGCAATCAATGCTCTTCATTGTTGGACTTGCTTTGGCCTTCCAATTATTTTGATTCGAGCTCCTATATATGATGGCTAGAGGACCAAACATGTTCCTTTAAAACACCTTAGAGAAGTCAAATTTTCTTCTTTGAAACCTGTTTGCCAGTTTGAACCCAACTTTGTAAATAAGTCAAAGGAAAGATGGAATACATTTTCAGATATTGTTTACATTGTTTCTAAATCTGGAAGGTCACACGTTTGATTTAATGAAAATACTTGATGCTTAAGAATTATATATATATATATAGGTTTCTTGTGTGGAATAGGCCAGCAGCATTATTACATAAAACAATTTAAAAAAAAAAGTAATTTTTAGTGGTTCCAGTGTTCGTAATTTTTTTATAGAAATAATTCCACCAAGTGTTTACCTAATTTCTATTTTGTGGAAGCATAATACATATCTTTTTCATACAGATATTCCAGACGATATCTTAGATTCAATTCCAACGGATGAAATATTAGATAACATATCACCACAGATTGGTAAAATGGTCTTTCAATTAGGAACAGAACTTGGATTGTCCATAGCAGATTTAGAGAATATAGACAAATATAATTGTGACTTGACTGCCCAGAGTAAGGAGGTTTTATTTACTTGGAGGAGAGACAGATTAGTACGACCTACAATACGTGTCCTTGAACAAGCTTTGGTAAATAGTAGAAAAGGTGCAAGGTGTTTAGAGGAGGTTGTAAAGAATGTTGATCCGAAAACACTGAGAGCTGTAGAAACTGTAACAGGTAATACTATTTCAAAGTGGGGGAAAATTATATATGTCTGGTAGTCTTTTGAAGAAGATAAAATATACGATCCATCAAACATAAAATATTTTTCGTACTAGCTTTGAAAATTAACACCGTTTATATGATCTTACCTCAAGAAGACAAAGTTAAGAGATTCACTTGCAGTAAATTAATGACAATTATCGTTGCTTTTTTTTCGTATATTAACCTACGTTAAAAAAAAATGGTTCAACACAAAACATTTGAACTTATTACAAAAAACTAGGGATGTCAACTCTGTGAAGATTTCCTAATCGAGTACTCGTTGGATTTACCGAGCGATACTCGAGTACTCGCTCGGAAAAACATCTACAAAATGGAAACACAAAAGTATACCCATTTTACGTATTGTGGGACGTTGTCTTGTGGACGTAAAACCCTCAACATTATTACCTAGGACTACTTATTGTCCAAGGAAGTTTATACCATTATTAATAGCTCATTTACTACATATGATAATTATGTTAACTGTCAATGATCTAATCAATTAATTAATAAACATCTATACAAAAATGATTACTCATACAACAGTTTTAAGGAATCGTAAAGTAACACATTGATCGACCAACAAAGGGGTGATGATTAGAACTTACTGATGTCTTTAAGCATTCTCTGGGTCAACACAGGGTGCAACGAATTTGTTCTTATTTAGGGTATTCACTGACATCCCTACAAAAAACAAAAAAACAAAACTGAAAAGCTCCTAAAATCTTTAAAGGCTGTTTAGACTGTGAAATATTTAGATTTCTTAGTATCCGTTTTATTTATTAGGACCATGTGAGCCATTACCATCATTAAGTTTTAACTCCCTCAGGCAAAGTTGACCTTAGATGGTTTTGGCTATTTTTTTAGGTCCTTTTTGGTAATATAGCTCTTCAACTGTTTCGGTTCTTAAACATCCGTGGCTTTCAAATATTTGGCTTTGAGCATTCCTAATGAAGGTGAATTCAGAAAAGTGCTTCGGACGCATGAAATTTATGACATGTTGCTTTAATTTTTTAGCATAGTCATAATTGTCCATTTGCAATTAACTTTTTAAAAATTTCTCTGAATCTATAAGACAGATTTTAACCAAACTTTGGCTGTATGATTTTAAGGGTATCTTCTGTCAAACTTTTAAATCTAATTTCTCAATAAACTGAAACATGGTTGCCATTTTTTCGAATATACTTTAAGGCAAGGCTTCCAAAACGGTCATATATTCCGGACTTGACCGAAATTTATATAAAAAGTCCGGCTGCTCTCAGCCTCATACGGTCAAATATCATAGGTTTGCCACTTTTTGTTATTCAAGGCATTTTCATAAAACGGTCATTTCACTTTTTTTTTACCAACTATCGATCGGTAAAAATGTCCGTTTGGGCATTATAGTTTATAATTGTGGCAATCTATTTCACAAAGATATTTCGGTCATATTTGGGTTTAATTAAACAGATGCAGCATATTTCATACTTTGAAGTGTCTCAGTTAGTCTAATCCTCTGGGTACACAAATGCACGGCTTGGTACATCAATAAAAAGTAGAAAAAAAATTTGTTCTTTTATTTAAAAAACAACAAGCTGTCAAACAATTATCCCTTCAATAAGTAATATTGAAGCCATAAATCATTCACTGATTACAGGTCATTATCTTTGATGAGAGACCTTAGCTTGTCTTAATCAATAGAATTGATGATGCATAACAATGAACATAAACGTGATCAGGTAAACGAGGTCAAACATGTAAGCGTGTATGGAATAACATCCTATTTAATTACGCTTTGTAGATATTATTGTAAATGACCATTCAGTTTTAAAAAAATTTCCTTAGATTTTAAAATAATTTTTCAAATAAGAATATTTATAAATGAATTCGAATATGTATGATATTCATTATTATATTTAAAAACACTGTACATCGTGTTAAATACTGGGGTACGCTAAAGGGTATTCAAAGTTATTTTCTTACATTTCAGCGGGTTACAACTCATTAATTTAGTCTAAAAGATTGAAATTATAAGAAATACGTGAATAAATATGATTTGATGAAAAATTTGAAAAGGTTTTAAACTTATAATCGTCAGAACCACGTTGTTTGAACTGGTACACGTGTGCGCATGTGTCTATTGTCCGCTGGTGGGAAATTTAATTATGCATCCTAATTCTTCAATAATGCTAAAATTATCATTGATTCCTTTATCTAACGTTCATTTCGAGTATTTTCTTGAAGAAATAACTTGAAAAGGCTACTTAACTCAATCGTAAACTTACACGGATATTACGTATCCGTCTCTGATCCTTGATTTACCATTGTCAAGTCAACATCCGGCATTAGGAAAATGTGATTTTAAAAACAAAAGTAAAGCTTTTGACAGCATTATTTTGCACAAATAAAGAGTCTAAAGCGGAATTAGTACGCTGATGTTGCACACTTCGAATGCTGCACTTTCAATTTAACACTTTACGTCAGAACCACAGGCACTTGTTTCTATCAATGGGAAGCCCCACTATCAACGTATATTTACGTTGATAGTGGGGCTTCCCATTGATAGAAACAAGTGCCTGTGGTCAGAACATCGAATTTATATCAAAGTAAAGTTTAACATCGTTTTAATGTCAATCATTGCCATTGGTTATATCATATATGATGGCCAACTGATTATCATAGTTGCCTAATTTACTAAGTCTAAAGGGATATAAAATCGTATAAGATATGAAATGTCCGGCTGGCTCAACAAAATTTTGGAAGCCCTGCTTTAAGGGTAAAATGCATTTTTTTGTTATATCTTGAAAACCTAAATAGATAGAGAAAATCTGCCCAGACTGTCAAAATGACCTACTTAATATTTCATCAAAATTATCAGATGACATTTAAATTCCTTATAAGAGTTATTGCCCTTAAGTTACAATTGTTGATTAACTTTAATCTTTGACCTCATTTTCTTGGTTCATTGGTCAATGTTAATTTTTCTTCATTTTGACAGTTTATCAGATACTGTACGCAACAGGTATATTTGGTGTATGGAATGATTGTAAGATGTACATGTCTGTCTGGCCTGGTTCATCTGACCATGAACTCATTATCATAGAACATTGATAATGTTAATTTTTTGTGATACTTATAGTAAAACCTCCATGTTACAGACTTTCAACATAAATTCAATGATAAGTAAAACAGGCGAGACATTTAAGCGTGTGCACTCTTGTTATATAGTCTTTTTTCTTGTAAACCATTATAGATAAGAACAGATCTGATTGGGGCAACAATGTCCAATATCAATATATATATATGCCTACTATTTGTTTTTTAAGATGACACCTTATAGGAGTTTATGACTTTAAATAAGTTAAATGATAATTTTTACCAATTTTTCTAATTTTGGCTTTTGTCTTGAAATTTATCTAGATAAACAATAAACATTTAAAAACAAATTTAGATAGAGAAACTGTGTATAGCAAATTAAAACACCGTTGTTGCTTCAATCCTGCCAATATATAGCTAGTGGGACAGGTGTTCTTCTCTCATTTTCAATATTTCTTTAAAACATACGAAGATGGCCATTAAAACATTGGTACAAGTTTTTATTAATAAAAAAGGGAAAGATACCAATGGGCAATAGAAAATCATAATTCGTATAAAAACAGACAACATAAGGATTAAAATGTAGAACCTTGTTAACATTATTATTTTGTCTTCAGTTATTTTCTATAAATATTTTACTACTTAATTATCTAGATATTGAAGGTAGTATGGTAGGAAGGTGTAGTATATTTTATTTTGAAGTTCAATATGATTATTTTCAAAATCATTGTATTCTGAACAGGGCTTTTCCAAAAACAACAAAATAATTATAAACGAATACTCATCGCCCAATGGAATTTTGCACAGTTGTTGTGCATAATATATAGATGTGCATATTATTATACCCCACGCAACGAGTTGCGGAGGGTATAATGTTTTTGACCCGTCCGTCCGTCTGTTCGTCAGTCCGTCATTTTGTCAGTCCGTCAGTCCGTCAGTCCTGTTTCTTGTCATTGCAATTCCTCTCAAACCACACAACAGAATTTCACGAAACCTTTTTAGATAATAAGGACATACTATGTAGTTGTGCATATCGACAGGAAATTACGATTCAATTCTTTTTCTAGGAGTTACGCCCCTTTGAACTTATTTACCTTAATGTACTACTGCAACAGTTTGTCATCGCAACTTCTCTCAAACCACACAACAGAATTTCATGAAACCTTTTCAGATAATAAGGACATACTACGTAGATGTGCATATCGACAGGAAATTACGATTCAATTTTTTTTCCAGGAGTTGCGCCCCTTTGAACTTATTTGCCCAATATACTACTGCAACCTTTTGTCATCGCAACTCCTCTCAAACCACACAACAGAATTTCATGAAACCTTTTCAGATAATAAGGACATACTACGTAGATGTGCATATCAACAGGAAATTACGTTTCAATTTCTTTTCCAGGAGTTACGCCCCTTTGAACTTATTTGCCCAATATACTATTGCAACTTTTTGTAGTCGCAACTCCTCTCAAACCACACAACAGAATTTCATGAAACCTTTTCAGATAATAAGGACATACTACGTAGATGTGCATATCGACAGGAAATTATGATTCAATTTTTTTTCCAGGAGTTACGCCCCTTTGAACTTATTTGCCCAATATACTACTGCAACCTTTTGTCATCGCAACTCCTCTCAAACCACACAACAGAATTTCATGAAACCTTTTCAGATAATAAGGACATACTACGTAGATGTGCATATCGACAGGAAATTACGATTCAATTTTTTTTCCAGGAGTTACGCCCCTTTGAACTTATTTGCCCAATATACTACTGCAACCTTTTGTCATCGCAACTCCTCTCAAACCACACAACAGAATTTCATGAAACCTTTTCAGATAATAAGGACATACTACATAGATGTGCATATCGACAGGAAATTACGATTCAATTTTTTTTCTAGGAGTCATTCCCCTTTGAACTTGTTTGCCCAATATACTACTGCAACCTTTTGTCATCGCAACTCCTCTCAAACCACACAACAGACGTCCGGCGTCGTCGTGGTCCGAAGACACATTAGTTTTCGCACTCTAACTTTAGTTTAAGTGAATGGATCTCAATGAAATTTTACCATAAGGTTCAATTCCACAAAAGAAAGGTTGGGATTGATTTTGGGGGTTATGGTACCAACAGTTAAGGAATTAGGGGCCAAAAAGGGGCCAAAAATAAGCATTTTTGTAACTTCCAGACATAACTTGTGTGTAAGTGTATGGATCTCTCTGACATTGTACCACAAGGTTCCATATCACAAAGGGAATGCTGGGATTGATTTTGGGGGTAATTGCCTCCAAATTTTAGGAATTAGGGGCCAAAAAGGGGCAAAAAACAAGCATTTTTCTAGTTTCATGACAATAACTTGTGTGTAAGTGCAAGGATCCGGAAATTTTTCCAGACAATTTCGGTCATTTTGAGATGTTTGAAAAGTTGGTGCCCCTTTTCAAATTGTCGATATCAACTTGACTATATTCATAGCATCAACGAACATGACGAACTTGTATTGTTGTTTCATCGCATTTACTAAGTAAATGTCTTACCATTACCATGAAGGACAGTTTAGGGAAGGCAACAGTCTAAAATTGAAATGATTTTAATGACTCAAAATGGTTAATTTCTCAGACATTGCTTACGTTTCTTTCGATTTGACAAAAGTTAAAACCGGAAGTTTGCGATATTTTAAAGTACGAATAATTCTGGATTCATTTCCAGGATTTGTTTTGTTTATCAATTGACAGGAAATCACCTGCTTTTTATGGCTTTTTTATTTTATTAAAAGTGTTTGAATATAACAGATAATAGTTGCACTCGTTTAATTTAGCATGAAATCAATTTGCATTTTACTATTTAAATATTAAATTTGCTGAAGACAATTTCACGCATGCGTATTACATAGTAAATAAAGCACATGTGTTACTAAGGAAAAATTACTTTTTTCTACGTAAATTTAGATTTAATTTTTAAATCAGAATTGATGACTGTCTTTGATGAAAAGTAAATAAATAATGATTACACTTGTCAGGGAACTAATGTTTTAAAGATATTATTCTGAGCTTGTGATCACTGTCAGGTGTGAATTAAAACCACAGGTAAAAAGTGATTAGCGATCATTAGCCAATGTTTCCCGGAGGCATTGAGATAGATATCAGGAGGGCCCTCAGGATTATCAAACTACTGTAGTGGCAGTTTTATTACAGGAAAGGGATTATAAACAAAAACAAGTGATCACAAGTGCAAAATGGCGATTAAGAAATCCGATTTCAAACATTGAGTCAATGAAATGACCGAAATTACTTCTGTAAAAAAATAAAATTTGTCCTAAATCCCAATTACTCGTTTAGGACAAATAGTTTCATCTTAGGACATGACTGGCAAATATGACCGTTTCCGGACCCTTGTGTAAGTGTATGGATCTCTCTGACATTGTACCACAAGGTTCCATATCACAAAGGGAATGCTGGGAATGAGTTTTGGGGTAATTGCCTCCAAATTTTAGGAATTAGGGGCCGAAAAGGGGCAAAAAACAAGCATTTTTCTAGTTTCATGACAATAACTTGTGTGTAAGTGTATGGATCTTTATGAAATTGTACTACAAGGTTCCATATCACACAGGGAAAGCTGGAATTGAGTTTCGGGGTAATTACCGAAAAAGTTTAGGAATTAGGGGCCAAAAAAGGGGCAAAAAATAAGCATTTTTCTAGTTTCCAGACAATAACTTGTGTTCAAGTGTATGGATCTCTCTGAAATTGTACTGCAAGGTACCATACCACAAAGGGAAGGCTGGGATTGATTTTGGGGGTAATTCCCTCCAAATTTTAGGAATTAGGGGCCATAAAAGGGCAAAAAAACCAGCATTTTTCTAGTTTCAGGACAATAACTTGTGTTCAAGTGTATGGATCTTTATGAAAATTGTACTGCAAGGTTCCATATCACAAAGGGAAAGCTGGGTTTGAGTTTGGGGGTAATTGCCCTAAACGTTTAGGAATTTGGGGCCAAAAAGGGGCCAAAAAACAAACATTTTTCTAGTTTCCAGACAATAACTTGTGTTCAAGTGTATGGATCTCTCTGAAATTGTACTTCAAGGTACCATACCACAAAGGGAAGGCTGGGATTGATTTTGGGGGTAATTCCCTCCAAATTTTAGTAATTAGGGGGCCATAAAAGGGCAAAACAACAAGCATTTTTCTAGTTTCAGGACAATAACTTGTGTGTAAGTGTATGGATCTTTATGAAATTGTACTGCAAGGTTCCATATCACAAAGGGAAAGCTTTGATTGAGTTTGGGGGTAATTGGCCTAAATGTTTAGGAATTTTGGGCCAAAAAGGGGCCAAAAAACAAGCATTTTTCTAGTTTCCAGACAATAACTTGTGTTCAAGTGTATGGATCTCTCTGAAATTGTGCTGCAAGGTACCATACCACAAAGGGAAGGCTGGGATTGAGTTTGGAGGGTGATGAATCAAAAGGGGGTTCAAAAAATTGGGGGGGGGATTTTTTTTTTCTTTTTTTTCTTTAAAATTTACCATTTTAAATTGGTTATTTCTGATTTATATATAAAAGCAAATAATAATGATATGGTTTGAATAGGTAAATTATTTTTTTTTAAGTTCTTATACCACTTTCATTCTGTGTCAGAAACCTATGCTGTGTCAAATATTTAATTACAATCCACATACATGTGAACCTCCCAACGGGAGTACAATAATCCCGTTTTCAGGGGTCTCCTCCCGACCTCCCGTTGAAGAGAAAAAAAATCCAGTGTATGAAATTTTTCATGAATGAAAAATTTCTGCACAACATATCATCTCAGACATCTGCCTGGTGTAACTGACATTACCTGAAGTTATATTTTACCTGTAAATCAATTAACATGCATAATTATATGGCTTCACTTGTCAGCTTGGGTGTCAAACATACTGGTAATCAACGATTTTTACCTCAGGCTAACTGCCGTTGTGTAATAAAAATTTTGTGTATTTATTGGGTTACTTCCCTTGATTTATCCTGTTTTAAGTTACGTTCCTTTAAATAATGAAAATTTTTAAAAGAATATAAATAAAATATAAATTGAACAAATAATCATAAAAGGATGGTAATTAAATGATTTTAAATGTCTTAGGACAAATAAAAAAATAATAATTTGAAAATTATTTGAGGGTTCTATACTTCCTTTCAAGGCTTAAATTGAAATTTATATAGTAACTATGACCCTTCTATCAGGTTAGAATGAGTTTCTGAATATTCAAATAAAAACTAATTGCATTTGCAGATAGTTAAACAAATGTTCTGATTGCATTGATTGTTCTATAGAATAATGATATAAAAGATATGAAGTAAAATATTTAAAGAACATACTAACAAAAAAGAATGTTAGATTGATCATGTAGAATATAAAGATAGAGAAACTTTATAATTACAAGGGTACTATAAACATAATACATTGGATGGAAAGTTGAAGAAAACACACTTTAAAAGACAATTTTTACAGCACACAGTTACATTTACGATAAAATTTATGTCGATTAAAAATCTCCTGATCTGAGTCCTAATCTCCTGACCAAAATTTCCCAATCTCCTGATCTGAGTTTCACAGTCCATCACATGTATGAATCCAAATTCAGTGCTGTATCAAGCTTGAATGTTGTGTCCATACTTGCCCCAACTGTTCAGGGTTCGACCTCTGCGGTCGTATCAAGCTGCGCCCCAGCGGAGCATTTTATTTTTTCTGATACATTTTTTTTTTCTCACACTTATTTTATTTCTCCAATAACAATGTGGGGACGTGGGGTATGTGAGCGCGCTCACTAAGGTTCTTTAATATTTTGATTACATTTGGCTCATTAAATTTGGAGAAAACAACACATTTTAAGATTTTTTTTGTTTTAGAAGTATGCTGTCTTTTGTCAACGCCATAATTCCAAAAGTATATGTAGGAGGCCAATGATATTATGCATATTTGTTGTGCATAATATGTAATTGTACATATTATATTTTTGAAAAATTCAGCTCATTAATTTTTTAAAAACAAATTTTGAGAAGTGTCTTTTGTAAACACTTAAACTCGTGGGTAGGAGGCCGATGAAATGTTGCACAGTGGTTGTACATAATATGAAGATGTGCATATTACCTGTTACCTATTCTGTACACTTCATCTTTTTCAGATGAACCACTTCAGTTGAGAAATCATACCTGCCAACTTACTTCACGATTTTGGCCCTTTGTCACGATTGCACGATCGGGATCGTGAAAAAACCTCTAAAACACGATTTTGTGAAAATCTACACGAAAAATATGATTGTTCTCGATTATGAACTGTACCCAAGGGAAGACAATCGTGATCAGCCAATCAAATTCTGTGTTTCTCATGATCAGATTAATAAGCCAATCAAAAACGTTTTCTCTTAAGATTATTCTAACATGCTAGATTTTGAACTTGTGTTGTATTCCTCTGTGTGTTAGTCAGAATTGTAAAATCGTGAACATGGAAGGTTATTTTTCATCTGCAAGGAGGTTCTTAAACAGCTTAAGAATAAAAGCATGGCTGATTGACAAAATTCAATGATGCAGTACTACCATAAAGATAATAAATAGTAGTTTATTCACTAATTTATTGACATTAGTAATTACACTTGCTGTAACATATGTCATTTTTGTATTCAATTAAATTACCAAATGGGGCAAATCATTTAAAGTACAATGTACTATACATTTTGTACTTCATTTTTCACAAGGACCAAACAAACAGGTTCAGAACAAACCCCCAAATGAGGGGTATATCCCTTAAATGAGGGACTGTCCCAAAGACATTAAGACAAGTAATCATTTTTCTGTTGTAAAAGAGAAAAAAGAAAAATTTAGATTTTTTAACTTAAAAGTGCGAAAATTCATTATATTTGGAACAACTTTAAAGTCTTTTCTAAATGAGGGGTCCAATTATTTTTAATAATAAATATGATAAAGAAGATAAAAATCCAGGAACATTACAAAATTCTTGGACATGTTTTGACCATATAATACCAGATACATGTAGATGTATAATTCTTTAGGAAAAGTTTCTTCAAATAATATAAATGTATGCTCATTTGTACTTAAAATTGGTTTTTAATGTCCTTACATTGAGGGGTGTTGTTCCCAACCTGATAAAAGTCCTTCTTTGTGCATAATTTTAGATTTTAAATGTCAAAAATCTTTTAATATCCTAAGACAAGAAAATAAATCCTGGTCTTCTAGCTACAGATTCATCTTTTCTACTGATATATTAAAAATGACTAGAATCATGCTAATAAACTTATGATAAAGGCTTGTAAGCTCATCATACAAATATGACACCTTTTCTAGACCACAAAACAGCAAGCGCAAAATATGTCGCAAAGAATTTGTTGTCGCACACTAAAACCCCCATGGGGACTTTCAAAAGTTGGCAGGTATGAGAAATCCTCTTGAAGTGTAGAATCCCTTATTGAAATGTAGTATCCGTTATAAATTAATCAGCATGTCTGGCAATTCCATTTATTATAAAACTTCTTTTTTATACACTTATATACACCGCCACCATACTTAATTCTGTATATTCAAACTGGTATATACAATCATTTAAAATCTAAAACTTAATCGACTCAGCAACTGTCTTTTCACCTTTGTCTCACTTGTGACTGCTTCTTCATCGTTAGAATATATCCAAAATACACATTAAAAACTAAAACTTGCTCGACTTAGCAAATGTCTGTTTCTCCTTTATCATACTTATGACTAACCCAAAGATGCACATTAAAATCTAAAACTTGCTCGTAGTTAACACCTATCATATACACCTTAACAAATTTACTGACTTATTTATTCTTATACTTAGAATATACAAAGAATACACAATAAAATCTAAAACTTGCTCGACTCAGCAAAAATATTTTTCTCCTTTATCATACTTATGACTAACCGAAAAATGCACATTAAAGTCTAAAACGTATTCATAATTTACACCTGTCATATTCGCCGTAACAACTTTACTGACTTATTTATTCTTATACTTAGAGTATATGCAGAGTGAACTTTTAAAATCTAAAACTTGCTCAAATCAATAAATGTCATTATCACCTATACCAGACTCACAAAATTATTACACTAAATGTCTCTTTTATCTGGCAGCACTATTTAGACAGTCTTTAAAGGATCAAACTTGATCTCTTCTGATCTAGAGCAAAACATAAGTTACTTGTCTTGCGCTCAATGTTTATATTATGAATATATTATGATATATTATGGCTCGTTATTTTTAGAGAAAATTTTTTTTGAAAAATGTCTTCTTATCATAGGATTTTAAATCTGACATAAAGGTGTAATTATTCAAACTGATTGACAAATTAAATATCACAAAAAAAATTCCAAATTTGAGAAGCATCCTCTTGTAAGATGTCATAAATAAATGATATATAATATAGGCATAATATGCATGCCAATTTGTTTCCTCAAGTCAAAATTGTGTTTAAAAAAATTTCTTTAAATAATTATTGATTTCTGAGAATCGTATTTCCTGCTATGATTTAAATGAAAAAGGTAGTGTTTGCAACTAGGAAGTGATTTTTTGTGTTAAAATGTTTGGATACCAGCCACTTACGAAAATGATTACCGAAATACACGTCTTTACGATTTGATTTAAAAAAATAATAATCAGGAACACATCCTGAATTAATTGCTGATGTCAAAATTTATGGAAATCCACAAACTATGAACATTTGCTTTGAATGCATCAGTCTCTTTGCCTCCCAAAAAATATGCAGACAGAGCCCTTGTTAACATATCAGTGTTATTGGTTGGTTGCATAAAAAGATAAGAACATTTTTGTAGAAAGAACATTTCAATACAAAAAGACAGTTTTAAAGGAATCTATATCCTTATTTACTCTGACATTGCATACCATATGCAAAAAAGTCATGCACTAATGATCTAATGCATAATAATTCTTTATGACTACAGATAGAATCAGAGATAATGCAGACAGAATCATACAGAATATACAAACCAGCCAAATTCTAGACCATATGATGACACATCTGGTGATATCAGCAGACGACAGACGTGATATTGAACATTATCCTCGACAAGATGACCAGAACAAAGCATTGCTGGATATTGTGATTAAAAGGAGAGAACCTGCTTACAGTGTGTTTGTTGATGGATTACGTAATTATGGATACGAAGATATTGCTAATGATTTGAAATGTTATTCAGAGAAAATGGGCCCAAGTACAACATCATTAACTGCCGAGAATAAAGGTATAGTTAGTTTGTGTTGTATACACTTGCGCAGTTGCTTTTTCTGTTACTTTGTTAATTTGGCACATTTGGATTTTAAACACCACCACTGACAATATTCAAAGCTACTTACTTTTAAACCCAAGGGTCTGGAAATGGTCATATTTGCTAGTCATGACCTAACTGAAAGCAATTTGGGCTCAACGGCAGATTGGGATTTAGGCTTTTTTTTTAAGAAATACTTTTGGCCATTTCATTGAGATCAGGTTTCTTAATTGCCATTTTGCAATAGTTTTTGTTTTGTTATCCCTTAGACTTTCCTGTAATAAAACTGCCACTTCAGTATAGTATGATAATACTGAGGTCCGTCCTAATAACCATATCAATGCCTCCAGGAAATATTGGCTAGTGATAGCTAATCACATTTTACTTGTGTTTTTAATTCACACTTGACAGTGATCACAAGCTCAGAACTAATATTAAAAAGACATTAAAATTCCATGACAACTTTCTTCATTATTTAATAATTTTTAAGCAAAGACAATTGTCAATTCTGTTTTAAAATTAAAACTTGATTTATTTACGTAGAGAAAAGTAAATGTCCAATAGTCAAACGCTTTATTTACTATGTAAAACTAATACGTGAAATAGACATGCAAAACGATTTCATTATAAATTAAACAAGTGCAACTATATCTGTTTTGTATTCAAACACTTTTAATGGTAATAAAATTTAAAATCCGGTGATTTCCTGTCAAAATTTGATAAACAGACAAATCCCAGAAATGATTCTGGAATTACTCGTACTCATGCTTCGGACACATACAATTACTTAATGTGATTTTTTCAGTTTTTAGGATTATCGTGAAACTTCTGGTTTAAATTTAGTCTGCAAAATCAAAAGAAACCTTGGCATCATGTCTGAGAAATTTACCATTTTTAAACTGTTGCATTCCGTATACTGTTCTTGAACGTTTTAGAAAATGGTAAGAAAATTCATGCATTAAATACAACGAAACAGTCAACAGAAGTTCCTTGATGCTTTGAATGTAGTGTGAATAATTTCGACAATTTGAAAAACAATGAAAAAGGGACACAACTTTTAAGTCATCTCAAAAATACCGAAATTGTGTGAAAAAATTCTTGATCCTTGTTCTAACCAATCATTCTTATTTATAGTTGGACAATTATTTGATGTTTCTGTTTATTCACTAACATTGCTCCTTCTCTCTAAAAAATCAATAAAGCCCTATTGTTACTATAAATGAAGAAAACTTACAAAAGAAAACCAAGAGCACGATGAAAATTATAAACCTAAAATAAAAGTCAATGCCATGTCAGAAATAAAAAAAAGCAGATAAGACATAGAACGATCCAAAAACAGTACATTGAAAACAAGATTGATCAACACAAAAAACACATCTAGAGGCTCTAAATGGTCTGTCTTGCTCACCTTGATCAATGTGCATCTCATTTGCTATCTAAAGTGTCTTTCTATCTATTATAGTTTTCAAGATAATAGACAAAAACACAAAAAATGGGTAAAAATTATCATTAAAGAGCAATAATTCCAATTTGGAGTCTACTGACTTTCGACCATTTGCCATATATGTAGATCTTGACTTGTTGTTCATTTCTGCATATTTCAGTTTTTTACCTATCTAATATAATACATGTATATCAATTAAAGGTTTTAAGATATTAGGCAAAAATGAAAATATTGGTAAAAAAAATCGTCATTTAAGGACAATAACTCCTTTAACAAGTTGTACGGCAGTTTTGGTGTAAAAAGAAAATAAGATCTTAACATTCTGAACATTTCTGCCCTATCAGATTTTCTATAGCAGTTTGTTAAAGTAATAGATTGATTGATTGATTGCTGGTTGCTTAACGTCCAGTGGTTAAGGTAATAGACATAACTTGTATAAATATTTTCCGCAGTGTTTATCTTTGTTAAAAGAAACCTATCTCATGGTTTAATCCACCATTTTTATACGACCGCAAACAAATTTTTGTGGTCGTATATTGGTATGACGTTGGCATCGTCGTCGTCCGAAGACACATTAGTTTTCGCACTCTAACTTTAGTTTAAGTGAATGGATCTCAATGAAATTTTACCATAAGGTTCAATACCACAAAAGGAAGGTGGGGATTGATTTTAGGGGTTATGGTACCAACAGTTCAGAAATTAGGGGCCAAAAATAAGCATTTTTGTAACTTCCAGACATAACTTGTGTGTAAGTGTATGGATCTCTCTGACATTGTACCACAAGGTTCCATATCACAAAGGGAATGCTGGGATTGATTTTTTGGGGGTAATTGCCTCCAAATTTTAGGAATTAGGGGCCAAAAAGGGGCAAAAAACAAGAATTTTTCTAGTTTCATGACAATAACTTGTGTGTAAGTGTATGGATCTCTCTGACATTGTATCACAAGGTTCCATATCACATAGGGAATGCTGGGATTGATTTTGGGGGTAATTGCCTCCAAATTTTAGGAATTAGGGGCCAAAAGGGGCAAAAAACAAGCATTTTTCTAGTTTCATGACAATAACTTGTGTGTAAGTGTATGGATCTTTATGAAATTGTACTACAAGGTTCCATATCACAAAGGGAAAGCTGGAATTGAGTTTGGGGGTAATTGCCCAAAATGTTTAGGAATAAGGGGCCAAAAATAAGCATTTTTCTAGTTTCCAGACAATAACTTGTGTGTAAGTGTATGGATCTCTCTGAAATTGAACTGCAAGGTACCATATCACAAAGGGAAGGCTGGGATTGATTTTGGGGTAATTCCCTCAAAATTTTAGTAATTAGGGGCCATAAAAGGGGCAAAAAAAACAGCATTTTTCTAGTTTCAGGACAATAACTTGTGTGTTAGTGTATGGATCTCTCTGAAATTATACTGCAAGGTACCATACCACAAAGGGAAGGCTGGGATTGAGTTCGAGGGTGATGAATCATAAGGGGGTCAAAAAATTTGGGGGGGGGATTTTTTTTTCCCTTTTTTTTCTTTAAAATTTTCCATTTTAAATTGGTTATTTCTGATTTATATATAAAAGCAAATAATAATGATATGGTCTGAATAGGTAAATTAAAAATTTGTAAGTTCTTAGACCACTTTCATTCTGTGTCAGAAACCTATGCTGTGTCAAATATTTAATTACAATCCAAATTCAGTGCTGTATCAAGCTTGAATGTTGTGTCCATACTTGCCCCAGTTGTTCAGGGTTCGACCTCTGCGGTCGTATCAAGCTGCGCCCCAGCGGAGCATTTTATCTACATTAGAAAATGCCTGTACCAAGTCAGAAATATGACAGTTGTTATCCATTCGTTTGATGTGTTTGAGCTTTTGATTTTGCCATTTGATAAGGGACTTTCCGTTTTGAATTTTCCTCAGAGTTCGGTATTTTTGTGATTTTACTTTTTTTCTTACATATGAATAAGTTTCTGCATTTGTTTGATATCATTTATCAAGAATGAAGTTTAAATCTCTTACTACAAAAAACAGGAAATGGAGAAGGTACGATAAGGCCACTGTTTCAGTCCTTCCAATTCGAAAATCTAAGAGTATTATTAATCTACCAAATGACACTCTTTAGACATGTTAGATGTTCATAAGACAAAATTTTGTTTGTGAACGAGATTAATTTTTTTTTATTTGCGTTACGTGTAAACTGTCTTAAAAATGCTGAAATAGCCCAACTATGAGATCTTGTCATTATTATTCAGGTATATGAGCCAAGTCTTTTTTTTAAGTCTCCCAAACGAAGTTTGGGAAAACTTATTGTTTTTGCTCAGTTCTTATTATGTCACCCGAATGTCGGGTGACATATTGCTTTTCCTCCGTTTCTTTTTATTATTATTTTTCTTCCACCTATTTTGTCCGAAGTGTTTCTGGGAGTTTAGTGGATCAATCCTATTGAATGGTTAACATAATGAGGTCCAGCATCTAAAGTTGTGCAGGACATCTTCGGAATTTTTAAAATGGCCACCGTTACCATGGAAACAGCACAAATGCGAAAAATAGGAAAGTGTTCCAAACTTAATGAAACTTTACAGAAATCTTAGTTGGCAGATGTAAATGTGGCATTTGACTGGAATTTCAAAAATGGCCGCCGTTGCCATGGAAACCGGAGACAAAGTTTTAACATTGGACCCTATGCGAAAATTCTTTTAAGTAGCATTTACTCACTGAAAATGGTAGGTCAAATATCTTGATTCTTTTATGGAATGTTCCTTGTCATGTGCCAATATGGCATCCATCTTTGTAATTTTGGAAACGATCATTGTTGCCATGGAAACGGCACAAATTCAAAAATGTCTAAAAATTTCAAAATGCTCCAAATTTACTGGAACTTAATATTAATGTTGACTGGCAAGTAAAGATGAGACTTTTGACATTGGAATTTCCAAAATGGCTCCTGTTGCCATGGAAACAGAAAAAATTTCAAAAATTTCAAAATGCTCTAAATGTTCTGAAAATTTATAGAAAGATGTATAGCAATATATTTATTTGCATTTACTGTTTAAAATATTTCGAAATGGCTGCCGCTTAGTGGCAATGGGGGGCAGGGTGACATCCGCTATTGCTTGCAATGGCAAATCTAGTTATTTTTATTATTCTTCTTCTTCTTCCGCCGAACTTGTCCGCACCTGTTCTCCAAAACCACTGGTCAGAATAACTTAGGGTTTCACAATATGTTAGACTAACATGTCTAGTGGTGCAATCAGGGTTTTGTTTGTGCAATAGGGTTTATAAAGGGGTACTTTGAGGGGCATAAAGGAAGGAGGGGTTTACTATAGAACCCTATGGGATTTTATTTTTTTTAATTTTCAAATGATTATAAGTTGATAACAGTTAGTGATAGACACAATATTTATAATTGAAAATGTTCTTAAAGATAAAGCACATTAAATGAAATAAAAGCTTAGTCCCCAGGGGTTACCCCCACCCCCTGCCATTTGAGAATGTTCTAATATCTTGGAAGTGGTCAAGATCCCCACCCCTAAACCATATATATTCTGGTTAGTCATGCCAAGATGATTTGAATGATAAACAGGGTTAGTTCCCAGGGGTCAGGATGACCCCCTGCCATTTGAGAAAGTTCTAATATCTTGTAAGTGGTCAAGATCCCCACCCCTAAACCATATATATTCTGGTTTGTCATGCCAAGATGATTTGAAAGATTAACAGGGTTAGTCCCCAGGGGTCGTCCCGACCCCCTGCCATTTAAAAAAGTTCTAATATCTTGTAAGTAGTCAGGATCCCTACCCCTAAACCATATATATGCTGGTTTGTCATGCCAAGATGATTTAAATGATAAACATGGTAAGACCAAAGGGGTCATCCCCGCCCCCAGTCATTTGAATATGTTCAAATATCTTGTTAATGGTCGAGATCCCCACCCCTAAACCATACATATACTTGTTTGTCATGTCATGAAGATTTGAATGATATATAGGAAAGGTCCCCAGGGGTTTCCCCCACCCCGAATGTTATAATATCTTGTAAATGGTTGAAATCCCCACCCCTAAACCATATATATTCCTGTTAGCCATGTTCCAAAGATATGAATAATATATAGGGTCAGTCCCCAGGGGTTCTCCCAACCCCAAATGTTCTAATATCTTGTAAATGGTCGAGATCCCCACCCCTAAACCGTATATATTCCTGATCGTCATGTCACAAAGATTTGAATGATATATAGGGTCAGTCCCCAGGGGTCATCCCAATCCAAATGTTCTAATATCTTGTAAATGGTCGAGATCCCCACCCCTAAACCATATATATTCCTGTTCGTCATTTCACATAGATTTGAATGACATGCAGGGTCAGTCCCTAGGCGTCACTAATGCATATCACTTTACTGGACCAAACCAATTTGTACTGGACTTTGCCCAATGTCAGGCGACCATAGGAATGACGAATTATGGGAGACTTCGTAACAGCATCCTGTTACAATCATTTCTTGTTCTCTTAGCTATAGCGGGTTTTGATAAAGATAATAACGGGTGTTAAATATGAGCGGAGTCTGATAGAAATTGACCTTATGTAAATGAATATTAATACACCTGTTAACTTATTTCGGGTTGCCAAATTCTCTACGCAAAGTCTGTAACTGTTTGAAAATTGATTTGATAAAAAAAAAACACAAAATAGTCCACAATTTATCTTTTGTTTCGTATTTGAATGTTTCAAAACCAGACAGTCTTACATGTGAAATGCAGGTACATGTGTACGTGCACTTGCTTATAAGGTCGATTTCTATCCGACGCAGCTCATATCTTGTTATTCCTCCTGCAAACAAAGTTTGGAGATATATAGGCATGCTTGTCTGACTCAACATCTGTCTGTCCAGACCAACGTCTTTATCATTTGTTGATCCACTTCAAAATTTGTAGAAAAAAAAGATAATGATATGCAACATTACCATGTGAAGAAATTTTATAATGTTTAGTTTATCCTGAATTATACCCCTTTCATCTCAGATATCTTAACTCTTTCCAGAACGAACCTTGTCATTGCAACTCTTCCTTCATTGTTTATTGCATCTTCATGAACAAATTTGTACATTATTTAAGAATTGAATGCTTCTTTTTGTAATTTTATTGGGGTGTAAAAGTGTTGACCGAAGCACATTTTGTATGAAGCGCGGATGAGCACGATCAACACTTTAACAACCCTATAAAATTACTAATTCCTAATGGACCGACCAATATTTATTTCAGTAAAGTCACAGGAGCATGTCAGTAATCTTCATAATTATGTATGAAGCTAGAGAAATAACTTGCATTGATTGTTGTTTGCTTTGTGTCCAATGGCGAATATTTCATGAATGTCCTGGATGATTAACAATACATGCAATAAGTAAGTCCTGTGGTAGGAGCCGACCGGAATGAAGGCAAGACATCCAAAATGCAGATGGAAAATGAGGGTATATTGGATAGGGAAACACATTTAGCCTTACAACAGGTCACCTTCGGATCCCTCAAAGCTCGGGAGGTCCACTTACTATATACAAAGTGATAGGACATGCCGCTGTAAATATATCAGAAATATATTATATGGTCAATAAAGTATCCATTACTTACAAAAGCCCTGGATTTTTTTCAAAGCCGAAAGTCTCCCCGTAAGTAAACATTACAAAAGGAATATACATACAATTTCCTATTTAGCGGAGTGTTTTTATCAGATATTTTGGTCACACTTTTTATTAGAAAAGCAACATATTGCAAGGTTGTCTATTGCCTTATATTTATAGGATCATGGTATTTCTAGTATTCCAGTGGGAGTGCTGTCTTTTCCATTTCGTTTTGCTCAAAAGAAAAACCAGACACATCTAATACCGGATAATGGGGTGTCGGACTATTAAGGTGTCAGACTAATGGGGGTATCGGAATATTGGGGCGACCTCGAATTAACACCTTTATTTAAATTCGATGATCTGTATGTTTCAAATATGTTTGCTAACAATTCTTGTTTAATTTTTTGTTAACATTGTAGACTCGATTGATACATGCTTCTTGTTTACCTGTAATCTTAATATCAAGTTTTATTTTTCTTTGTCAATATGTGGTACTGTATTAGTATCATGCTGCTTCAGGTGAAGCGTTATATTATCAGACGAAATATAATTCTATCTTATTCTACAGTTTGAAAAAGGTACACAAATGAACTTGATTACTGTCCTTATGTTAAGTAAAATTTGTAATCAAAAGTAAGGACCACCAGCGTTTTTCTTTTACTTAGCTAGTGAAAAATGTCATTATCTTTAAACTGGTCGTATCTCTACATCATACAAATATGGTTCAGTCCTAAATAATGGATCGAAGATATTAACCTATGTGATGAATGAATCAGCAATAGAGATTAGTCAGACAAAACCAAACAAACCCATTTCATAGCAACAGAAAAAGCAAGATTTGCAGTTCAGTAATTGTCTTGTCTATCATTTTGTTCCTTGATTATCAAATTAACAGTACTTAGTAATATAAAAGTGTGATCATTTGCAATTTTTGTCATGGTTTATGTATTTACAGGAACATTTATGAAGTTGTTACACAGGTCAGATTTCCTAACGTCAGTATATGTTTGCATAGTAATTTCACAAATAGAAGGTAAACATAGCTTTGAAAAACTGACCAATCGACTCAATGAACTACAATGCATTGTGGGCTTCTACGAGTTTACTAACATTGAAAACATGTGGAACTAGTGGGAAAACTGTCAAATTGTATAGTGTCTGGGACATTCATAACAAATATTTGTGTGCAGCAAATGTATTAAATGTAAAATATATAACATAATCTTCAATTTGCATGCTCAGATTTAAAAAAAAAATGTTTATTGGTTACACGATTCGACTTTCTTTTTCGCCTTTAAAAAGTAGTTACACAGGTTTTGTCCATTGTTATGCATTGTACCTGTGCATTAATTTCACGTGAAATAGTGAAATTTCCAATGAAGTGACCAATGTCCAGTATAAAAATCATTCGAGCTCTTTGAAACCTGTCAAAACGGTTTGAAGGAATGGGTTACAGCCTCTCTCTATATATACTCTTGGATTTTCTTGTATCCTTTATAATGTCATTCAAAAACACTGCTGCTTCGAAAAAAAAATGTGTAATAAAAAGTGGGGACGGTAAATAGCTTAACAAATTTTTTGTACACTTTTTTCCTTAGATTAAGTCCGTCTGTTGCCAATTTTATCCCAAAATGCCTTTATCAGTAAAAGCGAAACCAGTCCATTACAGACTTACACCTGGCCATTATGAATAAGCCGCGTCATTCTGAATGAACAGGGCCTTTGTGGATTTTAAGTTGTTATCAATTTAAATACATTTTACGGGAAAAAAGTATTATGAAATTAAGAGCTCCAAAGAACAAATATCTCCTTTGACCCATACGAAAAGTTAATATCTTTTGATAAAATCTCTTTAGAATAAATGAAGATGGAACATAGATTAAAAGCCAAAATTCATTCAACTATAATTTTTCTTCCATGAAAGAGTTTTTTTGTAAGCGGGTGTATCTTTGATCACTAGATCACCTATTTAGATTTAAACCCCCGCATTCATTGTAAAGCGGATGTATATAGTCCTTTTTTGTATCCACGATTCCAACTTCCTAAACCATTTATCATAATGAAATGAAACCTCATATTCCTAACCATGCAATGCCATTTTGCACTTCATATTTTGTTTTTGGTCAAAATTATTTTTGGGGTTTCTATTTCCTAAAACATATGGGAACCCATATTGTATCCGCAACTCATCCTAAACCACTTATCATGATTTAATGAATTGTTTTTAGATTCGTTATCATATAAGGTCATTGTGAAACTTATATTTGGTTTAGGGTTAAAATACTTTATGGAATTCTATAGTAAATATCTCTTTTCAAGATAATGGAAAATCAATCTTTCTGAAAGTTATTTGTGTTTGTGGTTCATAGAGACAAAGTAATAAATACATACCCTTCCTCGATTTAAATGACCTTTTTAATCATTAAAGTAGATCCAATAACATTACATCAATTATGCGAAAAGCTGGGACATTTTTAGTGACCCCAACCGATATTTGACACACATTTAAGTGTTCCCCTTTTTTGCGAACCAACTCAAAATTCCAGGATCCTTCATTATTTATCTATCTGAATGAATTCAATGTTCATCTTATGGGTAATTGTGTTTTTCACTGTTGTTTCGTAGCTGTCTTGTGGACGAATATATATCTGAATTCATTGTTTAATCATCAATAATAGTAATGGCTTTATTTCGGGTAATTCAAACCCTCGTTTCTTCACATAGAAACAACTGTTCGTTAATCTGAGCATGGAACGAATACTTTATATAAAGAACTATAAATATAGATTCAAAATTTGAAAAACTCAGCGAAATTGTTTATCACGCAATGCATGGACAAATGTGTTGTACTGTAATTCCTATATTAAAGGAGAGATTTTTTTTTTGTAGGATTATTAGATTGGACTGTTCCATTGTATAAAATTCGTCTGCAGAAAAATTATTCAGATATCATTACCAGTGTAAAGCATGATATAATAGTAGATCATTTGATATCATGTGCAGTATTGACAATTGGTGATTTTCAAAAGATAAATGCTTGTCCATCAGAAGAGCAAAGGAATAGGAAGTTAATGGACTCACTTTTGCATGGAAATGAGAAGGGATTTACTGAATTTCTCTGCGCTCTACGAAATGACTCAGTTTATGCAGATCTAGCAGATAAAATAGAGAACACAAACATTACAAGCACAGATAGATCAAACATTCAGAGTTGCTACAATGTCAATAAAAGGAAATATGAGCTGAATGTACAGGAGACAGCAACCAATCTGCCCAAAAAAACCAAAGAGAATTAGAAGTGAACAATTATTGTTGTTCATATCTAATTTTACTTATAACAAACTTTGTTTAAAATTACTTTTCGGGTTAATAGTGTCAATTATATTCGTGATGTCCTAGTTTCATCACCAATGATATTTGTTTCAAAGTGACTTTGTCACCCTATTCATTTTTGTCGAGCCTTCGACTTTTGTCGAAAAAGCGAGACATAGCTATCCTACATTCCGTCTGCGTTGTCGTCGGCGGTGGCATCCACAAATATTCACTCTGTGGTTAAAGTTTTTGAAATTTTAATAACTTTCTTAAACTATCCTGGATTTCTACCAAACTTGGACAGAAGCTTGTTTATGATCATAAGAAAGTATCCAGAAGTAAATTTAAAAAAAAAAATCCTGTTTTTCCGTATTTTACTTATAAATGGACTTAGTTTTTCTGCCAGGAAACATTATATTCACTCTGTGGTTAAAGTTTTAAAAATTTTAATAACTTTCTTAAACTATCCTGGATTTGTACCAAACATGGACAGAAGTTTGTTTATGATCAAAAGCTAGAATCTAGAAGGAAATTTTTATTAAAATTTTGTACTTGTTTATCCATATTTTACTTATAAATGGACTTAGTTTTTCTTCCAGTTAACATTACATACAGTCTGCAGTTAAATTTTTTAAAACATTTATTAGATTCATAAACTATCCTGGATTTTCACCAAACTTGGACAGAAGCTTCTTACAATAAAAAAAATTGTATCGAGAGGAATATTTTTATTAAATTTTTTCCTCATCTCATTTTTGTTGAGCCTGCGATTAACAGCAAAAGTAGGCGAGACATTGGGTTCCACGGAACCCTTACAAATTTTTCAATAGCATTGACACAAGTTTTATAGCGACTTGAGTTTCACCAGTATCACCCAGATTACAATTCTATGTTGAAATCTAAATTTGAATTTAGCCTAGAAAATACCTATTTTGCCTTAAGAATTGAAAAGTCAGTTTAATTCAATAGAAGTTTACCTATGAGGGTCTGGTTGAGATATAGTTTACAGAAAAAAGAATATTAGCATTAAAAAATATTGAATAGAGAAACTGAACATAAGTTTTAAAGATATGAGAATAACGCTGTTGATCCAATTTCAGGTTTTTTTTTTGTCTCGCCTGCGACGAAAGTCGCAGTATGCGAGACATTGGTATTACTATCCGGCGGCAGCGTAAACTATTTGTATATAGCTTTATATTTCAGAAGGTAGAAGACCTGGATGCTTCATATCTTGTATGCAGATACCTTGTGTTACGAAGTTTCCGTCAATCATATGTCCATTGTCCTTGACCTCATTTTCATGGTTCAGCGACTGCTTGAAAAAAAATTGAGTTTGTTTGTTATGTGAATTTCTCACTTATTATGAGTAGTAGGATAACTATATTTGGTATATGGGTTCCTTGCAACGTCTACATGTCCGTCCGACAGAGTTCACCTGACCTCGACCTCATTTAATGGATCAGTGATCAAGGTTAAAGTTACGTGATTAGGTCCGTTTCTCAAATACTATAAGCAGTAGGTCAACTATATTTTGTGTATGGAATTATTGTTTTGGGCACATGTCAGTCTGGCAGGTTTCAAATTACCTTGACCTCATTTTCATGGTTCATTGGTCAATGTTAAGTTTTAGTGTTTTGGTCTGTTTTTCAAGTACTATAAGCAATAGGTCAACTATATTTGGTGTATGGAAAGATTGTGAGGTGTACATGTCTGTCTGGCAGGTATCATCGGACGTTGACCTCATTTTCATGGGTCATTGGTCAATGTTAAGTTTTTGTGTTTTGTCTGTTTTTCAAGTACTATAAGCAACAGGTCAACTATATTTGGTGTATGGAATGATTGTTAGGTGTACATGTCTGTCTGGAAGGTATCATCTGACCTTGTCCTAATTTTTATGGTTCAATGGTCAATGTTAAGTTTTTGTGTTTTATTCTGTTTTTCAAATACTAATAGCAATAGGTCAGCTGTATTTGGTATATGGAATAATTGTTAGGTGCACATGTCTGTCTGGCAGGTATCATCTGACCTTGACCTCATATTTATGGTTCATTGGTCAATGTTAAATTTTTGTGTTTTGGTCTGTTTTTCAATTAACATACGTAATAGGTCAACTATGTTTGGTGTATAAAAAAATTGTAAGGTATAAAAATAAGAAGATGCGGTATGATTGCCAATGAGGTGTATATGTCTGTCTGGCACATTTTATCTGACCTTGACCTCATTGTCATAGATTTTTAAAAATGTTAAGTTTCTGTAATGCTTTTTGTAAAACCTTTATCTTTAAGACTTTCAATATAAAATCAATGGCCAGTAAAGCAGGCGAGACATTTCAGCGTGTGCACTCTTGTGTTTATTTTGCTCTGTAACATATGATTTAGTTTGCCACTTTAGAAGCAATATAAAATATTCTGCAAACATTGATCACATGATAAATGAATACCAGAACATGTTGTCAGTTGAAATGTTCTTATGAGAAAGAAGGAAGAAAGTAATAAAAGTATTTCTGTTAAATTGTATGAAAAGTTTTTAGGAAAAATATTTTTAGTTAATTTACATGATAATAGTTTTATTAATATTGGTTTGCATTATTTTCAATGTCAGTTTTGATAAGGCACTCCTGTAACTAATATCAGAAGTTGTGATGTAAGTAAAGTGCATTCTATATTATTCCATCATATTGTGATGACATTTAGATAATTTAAAGTAAAAATATAGAGATGTGTCATAACATACAGAGGCAATTATTCCATTAATGAGCATTGGTTATGGTTCATTTGGAACCTTTTCTTATGTATTGTTTAAATATATCGATAACGCATGTTCATATATCAAAGAACAAAAACAAAAAGATCTTAGGTTAGGTCAATTGTAAGGATACTTTCTTAGTGAAATGTGAATTTAAGTAATATGAAACTTAAAATGTTAACTCTGTTGTCAAGCATGGTGTTGTCATTGGAGTTATATATTAACAGCCAACATTTCTTTTTTCGATGGCATCTGTGTTACACAGGTAAAATAGCTACGGACGTATTACGTCCGTAAAAAATCCGTAATACGTCCGTATTATACGGAAAAACTACGGACGAATAGTACCACGGACGTAAAACGTCCGTTGCTTCCCATCCATAATACGTCCGTATCAAACCGTAAAACATCCGTTTAACGTCCGTAATACGGATTTATAATGCTACGTCCGTAATACGGATGTTTAGTACCACGTCCGTAATACGGATTTTTTGTACCACGGACGTATAACGTCTATTAATATTATGCATATTATTATATAGAGATATTTTGAAAAAAAATACCTGTATGGTTTGATTTTTATGTAACAGTTATATTGCTGAAACTTTTGATGGACCTGTCAATGACAAAATGCTATACTTTATTTTAAGGTGATGATACTTTTTATCTGCATTCCCTTATATAGTCTCCTAGTGTTCTATCTAAAATTTGTTTCTGATGCAATACATACAAGGTTTTTGGCATAGAACTTTCTGTCATACAGTGACTTGTTGTTTAACAAGTTGAATATTGATGATAACTTTGATTTAAAATCTTTTTAAACATTCTACATGAATATTCAAGAGTAAATCAACATTAATCATAAGTATTTCAGTGCTTGTCTTTGGTTCATATTTTGCTTTCATATATTAACTTGTTAAAATAAGGCTCTTAGTTTTCTCTATTTGTCATATCCAAACCTTTTCATAGCACACTATATAGTTGGTTTTTTTTCATTGTTGGAGGACCTATAATTGCTCACTATCACATCATTTGAACTCTGGTGGATATTTTTCTCATTGGCAATTCAACCAAATTTCCTTACTTTTATATGATCTTTTAATTATATATCAAGAGTAATTGATCTCAAGAGTAATTGTGAATATTGTATTGTTTCCTTTTTACAGTTTTGAATGTATCTGTTTTCTTAAAACTTTCTTAGAACAAACATAATCTTCAATCTCCTTCAAAGTTCAAAATTTTATTTCCAAGGATTTTTATTCACATTCTAATTTCTTTACTTTCAAAGTCCATGAATGTCAAAATAAATGTCTTCTTTGTAAATTTAAATGTTGTATTTTTGGTAAAATTCCCATATTTGTGAGGTAGTCTTCTATGTCCTGTATTCATGGTATTGGTTATTCTTCACCATGTTCACTGTGAATGGTAACTGAAATAAAATATTCATAAATAATATAAATTTAACTTCCATGAAGTAATGTTATAATAATTAATAGTCTAATACACTTAAGAGGTCCCAAACTGCCTACAAAGTATATGCCTATGACATATTGTGAGTTTTAGCATGTTAAATTAAATTGCTTTGCCGAGTGCAGCTGGATAGGACCGTAGAGGTCCAACCCTGAACAGTTGGGGCAAAAATGGACACAATATTCGCACTTGATACAGGTCTGAATTTGGATTGTTATTAAATATTTGACAAATAATAGGTTTCTGACACAGAATAAATGTAGTCAAAGAACTAGAATTGGTTATATGATTTGAATTTATATTCATTTTTTTGCTTTTGTGCAGTACACTATGCTGTTGCGAATTGACACCCCTCCCCCAAATAATATTTGAAGAAATTTTTTTTTTTAATTTCGGACGATGATGTGATTTTTGCCGGTTGTATAAAAACTGCTGTCATGTCCATGTTTATTGTACTTTTTGCTGTAAGGTTGCTGTCAAACTAATGTAAGCCTTTCCTTTTACTTTCCTTTTATGAAATCTTAAAACAAAGTTGTGTGTGTACTCATATATCAATGTGCAGAAACAGTATCAATAGATTAATCAAACAATGAAGGAATTTTGATCAAACTACCATAGCCGTAACTTGGAAGAGCCTCTATTAAATACAAGCTGTAGGTTGAACCAGTATTTACAAAATTGTCAAAGCATGTTAAGCGTACAACTCATAGGTAACCAGTACCTCAACAAGACTTAGTGCACATGCTGACCATTTATTTTATGTTGAAATTCTTTAAGATAAAGGTAAAATTACTAAAAGTATCACAAAATCTTAACACTTTACAGATCTTTGACCATGAGGTGAAGGTCGGATAAATCCTATCAGACAGACATCTACACCAAACGATTTTTTTATACACCAAATATAGTTGACCTAATATTTAAGCTTGTAGTACTTGAAAATCAGCAAAAATACAAAAACTTAACATTGATAAATGAAATGAGGTCATACCCAAGATCAGATGAAACCTGCCAGACTGACTTGCCAGACTGATATACATGTACAGTTGACCTACTGCTTATAGGATTTGAGAAATGGACCTTGTCACTGATCAAAAAAGTGAAGAAGAAGTCAGGTGAACCCTTCTAACAGACATGTAGATGTTGCAAGGAACCCATATACCAAATATAGTTATAATATCCTATAACTCATACATGTCATAAGTGAGAAATTCACATGACAAAAGAACTATTTATTTTTTTCAAGCAGTTATTGAACCATGAAAATGAGGTCGAGGACAATGGACATATGACAGACAGAATCTTTGTAACATAAGCCTCTGCAAACAAGATATGAAGTCCAGGGGTTGAAGTCATAAAACTTTGCTCAGTGCTCGGAGCACAAAAATTATGCTAGAAACATGAAATCAAACATTTTGATTGGTTGATTTTGGAGTATGAGTACAAAAATCTGACTCAAAAGTTTTATGACTTCAAGGCCAGGTCTTCTACCTTCTGAAATATAAAGCTTTATACAAATCGTTGACAATGCCGCCAAGAATAGAAATACTTATGGCTAAGTTTTGACAAAAAAACATTCTGATCAAAAAACAAAATTGAAAGTGTGAAATAGCATTATATTATATAAATAATAATGTCCTTTGGTCTTTTAAATGACACATTGAGGATCATACCTCATCTTTTTATATTTATATGCTGGTTAAACCTGGTTCATTGAAAAAGCTCCAAGGTTTATCCATGTACATAATCTGATTGCTATATGTTTGCAAATTCATTCTGATAATGCAAAATCATTAATTGGTTGATTTTTTTTGCTTATTTTAATGTCCAGTGGCAAATATTTTATGTATTCTAAATGATAACAACTTATCAATACATAATATAGGCCAGTCTGACTAGGTACACAGCTACTTTAGTACAAGTAATCTTGATGTACAGTTCTCAAGATGCATATCGAATGTACATCTGTAAAGCTGTATATTAACTGTACAGCTATAAAGTTTCATTTAATTTGGACCATTTTTCGGTTTTTCACATTTTTGCCATTTCCATGGTAACGGCAGCCATCTTGAAAATTCCAAACCCAAAGTGCACATCTGCACATGGGGATTGTCATTATGGAGCAGTTTTATCAATGTATGTCAAGTCATCTCCGAGAACTAAGCTGGACAAAAAGTGTGGAAGAATAATTCGTAGAATGACAATATGTCCCCCCTTTTATCAAAGGGGTGACATAATAATATGCAAAAGTCGATTGTTCAAAAGCGAATTAAAGGTATTTTCTTTCATAAATTGATCGGAAAAATGATGTGGATTGGTTGATTGATGGTTTGTGATCATGATTGATCAATCAATCGATTGATTGATCAATCGTTTGATTGATTGATCGACTGATTGACAGTTTGTAAAAGGTGAGGGGACATTTTTTTTTCGAATTCTGCACTTGATTAATTACTTGTTTGATATCAAACTTGATTGATTGATCTCTTATCATGATTTGATCACTTTAATCATGATTTGATTGATTGATCAATACTTTGTATAGCCTAAAATGACACATTTTGCATTGGTTTATTCCTTGTCTATACGTTTTGTGCTGTTCAGTGTCAAATATCTAACGCACAATTTTACACGTAAGATTGAGAAATATACTCTATTTCCTCTTCTTACATCAGAAAAAATGAATGGCGATTAAGGTTATTCTAACACTAGATTTGCTATTGCAAGCAATAGCGGAGGATGTCACCCCGTACTGGACATTGTCAAGGTAGTAGCAATCATTTTGAGTGTACCAAAGTCAAATGGCACATCTATTATACATGCCTTTGATTCTGATTCCCCCCCCCTTTTTCTCTTCTCGTAGAATAAGATTGATGTCTATATCACAGCTACTTTAGTACAAGTAATCTTGATGTACAGTTCTCAGATGCATATCGAATGTACATCTGTAAAGCTGTATATTAACTGTACAGCTATAAAGCTGTATATAAACTGTACATCTGTAAAGCTGTATATCAACTGTACAGCTGTAAAGCTGTATATAAACTGTACATCTGTAAAGCTGTATATCAACTGTACAGCTGTTAAGCTGTATATAAACTGTACATCTGTAAAACTGTTTGTAAACTGTAGAGTTGATATACAGCTTTACAGCTGTACAGTTTATATACAGCTTTACAGATGTACATTCGATATGCATCTTTAGAACTGTACATCAAGATTACTTGTACTATTGTAGCTGTGTAAGTTTGAAATGTAAATGCTATGATAGTTTGAACTTCTGACATCTCAAGTGTGTGTGTATGGAGCAGTAGAAGGGGCAAAGTAAGGATGCCTTGATGCATACATTACATGGGAAAGTGAGAAAAATAAGCAACAGTGTACATGTACAGTTATACTTGAAACAGTTTTAGGTAGATAACATCAAATTATTTAAATTAACTGCAATTCTACAGATGAACTTACTTTGATATCAGTTCTTTTTTGCAGGACATTCACACCTACATGACATACATGTTCACCAGTGATATCAATCATTGTCAATACTGTACTTTCCTTTCATTTGGTTACAAGCTAAAATTGTATATATAAATAATTTAATCAAGAAGTCCAGACAAAAACTACATGTAGTATGAATTGATGCTCACTAATTTATACCTTTACTATATACTTTTACTTTTGAGTGAATTGAAACAAAATGTATGCAAACAACAGAAAGAAGATCAACAGTTAAGCTTATAAAAAATTAATATAAATATATGTGCATATTTTAATAAAAGAAAAACCTTTCAATGTACCTTGGCAATGGATAAATTTTCTGTCAAAAAGCAAAATAAACTTCAATAAACGGTTTCCCAAGCAAAGCTGGAAACGAACCCTGAACAGTTGGGGTAAAAATGAACACAATATTCAAGTTTGATATAAGTCTGAATTTGGATTGTAATCAAATATTTGACACATTATAGGGGGGAAATTTCTGGATCCGCCACTGGGTATTGAACCTTTAGATTAAAGAGTACCATACACTTAAACTAAAGTTTTTTGTCCAGAACCCAAATGTCTTTAAAGGACAACAATGTGATAGCAGTATACTGTGTAGCAGTATACGACCCCATATTGTGGTTGTATAAAAAAATTGTTTGTTCTTTTAAACTTTTTCATATATAATTCATCTACAAGAAATGTAGGCCTGTTTGGGATTGCTTGCAATGCAATTTTCCTTATAAATTCAACCTTATATAGTAATGCCGGATTTTGATTGGTTGGTAACCAGAGCATTTTTCGTACATTCTTATCCTTTTTACTCTATTTCTGTACTACTTCTTTACTCAAAAATTATTGTAATATTTAGGTAAGGTACCAGTATTTTACAGTACTTGTTTTGTACTAAAAATTTTGGTACAGAAATAATACCCACAGTGATCATAATATTCCATGTTTGAAAATCATAACTTTAAGAGATGTGAAATAGACAAACTATCAAAATGCTGAAAATGTAACGGTGTAATAACATGAATAAAAAACTGTAGTACTTAAATTTCAAGTACAAATCAAGTACTGTAAAATACAGGAACTTAATATCATGATAATTTTAAAGTAACAAAATGGTACTAAATATTAAAAGTAGATTTCCAGTACTACATAATTTTGGTACAGAAATAGTAGCTATGCAAAAGTAGCTGTGTAACCAATGTCAAGTTCTTTGACTACATTTATTCAGAAAACTATAATGTGTCAAATATTTATTTACAATCCAAATTCAGACCTGTATCAAGGAATCAGAAACTTGTCAACATTTAAGTTAAGTACTAAGGAGTATTATTACTACAACTGCACAATATTAATGACTTTACCATAAGTTATTTCTTGGTTTCCTTAAACTGACCTCATCACGAATATCAACAAATTGTTTACGGTTTTGTAAAAAAAATAATTTGTCACTTCTAACATGGATAATTTTCGACTTGCCCACAACAAGAATCAAAACTTTGAACTCTATGACCTCAAACTTTAAAATAATCTTGGAAACTACATGTACAATAACATGATGTACCGAGTCTGACAAGAAAAAAATATTCAAATAAAGTCATCATTTTAATAACATACCTCTCATCACAAAATTATTCATTGACTACTGCTCCTCTGTGCTCATATGCACATAAATCAATATGACAATCTATGAATCCACTATATAATCTAGACATCAATGACCCAAATGAATTCTGTTCTGTTGCTTAGCTTCTCCTACTTCTCAAAGTACTTGTACTTTCATTGAAAATGCTAAAAGAAATAATGGTTAATGAAATGAAGTTATAATATCTGCCAAAATTGCCTTTAATATTTGATCCGGCAAAATTGGCTTAGTTTGATCTTTTAAAACTAGACCAACAAACTTTCCCTGAAAAAATAGAGGCTTCCAAGAGCCTCAGTCACTCACCAGTATCCACTGTGGTTTTGGAAATCATGTAAAATAACGTTTAAATCATAATAAATAGTATTAGATACACCAATAATGATTGTGGCCAAGTTTGGTTAAATTTGGCCGAGCAGTTTTAGAGAAGATTTTAGTAAAAGATTACAAAAATTTACGAAAAATGGTTAATAAAATTGACTATAAAGGGCAATAACTCCTTAAAAGGTCAATTGACAATTTTGGTCCTGTCGACTTATTTGTAGATCTTACTTTGCTGAACATTATTTCTGTTTACAGTTTATCTCTATCTCAAATAATATTCAAGATAATTACCAATAAAATGCTCCGCAGGGCGCAGCTTGATACGACCGCAGAGGTCGAACCCTGAACAGTTGGGGCAAGTATGGACACAACATTCAAGCTTGATACAGCTCTGAATTTGGATTGTGATTAAATATTTGACACAGCATAGGTTTCTGACACAGAATGAATGTGGTCTAAGAACTTAAAAATTTTAAATTGGACATTCACCTATTATGGTCCAATATCCAAAATCTAAATACATGGTTAGATTCAGCATATCAAAGAACCCCAAGAATTCAATTTTTGATGAAATCAAACAAAGTTTAATTTTGGACCCTTTTGACCTCAATGTGGACAAATTTGATAATGGGGCCCAAAAATCAAAAATCTAAATACATGGTTAAATTCAGCATATCAAAGAACCCCATATATTCAATTTTTGTTGAAATCAAACAAAGTTTAATTTTGGACCTCGATTTGGACCAACATGAAAACTGGGCCCATAATCAAAAATCTAAATACATGTTTAGATTCAGCATATCAAAGAACCCTAAGAATTCAATTTTTGTTAAAATCAAACTAAGTTTAATTTTGGACCCTTTGGACCTTAATGTAGACCAATTTGAAAAAGGAACCAAAAATTAAGAATCTAAATACACGGTTAGATTCGGCATATCAAAGAACCCCAATAATTCAATTTTTGATGAAATCAAACAAAGTTTAATTTTGGACCCTTTGGACCTCAATGTGGACCAATTTAAAAACGGGGCCCAAAATCCAAAAACTTAATACACGGTTAGAATCAGCATATTAAAGAACCCCAAGAATTCAAGAATAAAACCCCATTGAAATTGGTCAAGAAATAAGCAATTTATACGAAGTATCTTCTTTTGCACAATACTGTGCAATTGAATATTTCTTGCTATTGCGTAATACTGTACAATTGACAATTTCTTGCTATTGCGCAATATTGTGCTATTGGATATTTCTTGCTATTGCACAATACTGTGCAATTGAAGATTTCTTGCTATTGCGCAATACTGTGCAATTGAAGATTTCTTGCTATTGTGCAATACTGTGCAATTGAAAATTTCTTGCTATTGCACAGTACTTATTATATAATAATTTACACATCCTGTTAGGTGTGTATCTCCTACCATATCATTATTATTTGCTTTTAAATATAAAACACAGAAATAACCAACTTAAAATGGAAAATTTTAAAAGAAAAAAAAAGGAAAAAAAAAAAAAAATCCCCCCCCCAAATTTTTTGAACCCCCTTATGATTCATCACCCCCAAACTCAATCCCAGCCTTCCCTTTGTGGTATGGTACCTTGCAGTACAATTTCAGAGAGATCCATACACTTTAACACAAGTTATTGTCTGGAAACTAGAAAAAGGCTTATTTTTGGCCCCTTATTCCTAAACGTTTTGGGCAATTACCCCAAAACTCAATTCCAGCTTTCCCTTTGTGATATGGAACCTTGTAGTACAATTTCAGAAAGATCCATACACTTACACACAAGTTATTGTCATGAAACTAGAAAAATGCTTGTTTTTTGCCCCTTTTTTGGCCCCTAATTCCTAATATTTTGAGACAATTACCCCCAAAATCAATCCCAGCATTCCCTGTGTGATATGGAACCTTGTGGTACAATGTCAGAGAGATCCATACACTAACACACAAGTTATGTCTGGAAGTTACAAAAATGCTTATTTTTGGCCCCTTTTTGGCCCCTAATTCCTTAACTGTTGGTACCATAACCCCCAAAATCAATCCCAACCTTCCTTTTGTGGTATTGAACCTTATGGTAAAATTTCATAGAGATCCATTCACTTAAACTAAAGTTAGAGTGCGAAAGCCAATGTGTCTTCGGACGACGACGACGACGCCAACGTCATACCAATATACGACCGCAAAAATAAAAACTGCAAAATTTCCCTAAAATTACCAATTCAGGGGCAGCAACCCAACAACAGGTTGTCTGATTTGTCTAAAAATTTCATAGCAGATAGAACTTAACCTGGTGAACGTTTTAACCCCACGTCAGATTTGCTCTGAATGCTTTAGTCTCAGAGATACATGTGTAGGACTTGGAACTGCGATGCTACTCCGAACTGCGATGGTCACGCCGAAGTGCGATGGTCCATGCTGATGTGCGTTGGTTAACACGCTGAAGTGCAATGGTCCATTGTGACACTAACTTGTTGTTAGATATGCTGAAGTGCGTTTGGTGGGTACGCTGAAGTGCGATGGTCTAACTGTGACGTTGTGTATACTAGCTAAATGCAATGGTCTAAAGTTGAAATCCCATTTTTAAATGTGGCGGTGTAGTGGTTAATGTGCTAGCCTCGCATTTGGAAGACCAGGTTTTCTGGTCAGGTCAAAATAAAGACTTTAATTTTTAATTTGCTAATGTTTTGCTTAGTATACAACAGTATGAGGCAGAAAATAGACTGGATGGCTCAGATTAAGTATAATGGATTCAAGTTGGGGGACATTGTTTTTATAATGAGCATTCAAGTGCGATAAAAAATAAAACGGGTATAGCACAGCGCTCTTTGTAGTACTAACTAAGCAGGATACATTTAATTTTATCAAATATACTAGTAACTTGTTCTTGTCATGTCAGTAGCTACGAAATTTCTCACAACATTCATGCATCTATTTATTTAATAAATCATAACAGTTTTTAAGAAATAAAAACTACCGATTACATTTATGCTTGACATATAGTGAGACATGACGCTTGTTCTGTCATTAGCTTGAGAATTAGCAGATTTTTCGCTAAGCAGCAGAAACTGAGAATTACAACAAGTTGGCACCATTTGGGTTTCTTTTGGCCTAACCCATAGCAGAATATTAATACTTTAAACAAAATAAAATAACCAAGATTGCCCGTTTTCTTACAAAGCATGCCGGATTCATTTCGAGAATAAAACAAAATTATCGCTACTTGATATAACGAAAACATTGCTAATAATTAATTTATTATTTTAAAAGTTGGCCACACAAAATCATGTGATGTTAACTTGAGGAGAAGTCAAATTTTATATAAGACCAAGACATGCTCAAAACTGTTTGGGACTTAAATCGTTCGTTTCATTCTGTTTCCTTTCCTTAGTACGTACGAAACCTTCATCTACAAATCTTATTCTCCTGCCTGTGAATCCATTTGTTTCATAACGTTGTATTTGAAAACGTCACAATATCAAACGTCATGCAAAATCATCCCACTTTATCTAAAGGACCATCGCACTTCGGCGTGGACCATCGCATTTCGGCGTGGACTATCGCACTTCTGCGTGGACCATCGCACTTCAGCGTCCCCATTGCACCTCCGAGTCCTACACATGTATAAGCCAAAAACTGCATTTTACCCCTATGTTCTATTTTTAGCCATGTTGGCATGTTAGTTAGCAGGAGAGGTCATCTGACACATATTTCTAACTAAATATCCTAATGATGTTTGTGGCCAAGTTTGGTTCAATTTGACTCCCTAGTTTCAGAAGAGAAGATTTTTGTAAAAGTTAACAGCAACGGACAATGACGACAGAAGCCTTGTGATGAGAAAAGCTAATAAACAGCAGTGCCACGAGCTATAAAGTCTTGTAACTACGAAAGTTTAAATCTTATTTTCACCAAAAAGTATGCAGATAGTTTGACCATCATAAGAAACGACTATGTTAAGTTTCATTAAATTTGGATAAGTGGTTCTCAAGTTACAGTGCGACATGTGGACGCCAGAGAGACAGACAGACAGACAGACAGACGGCCGGAAGCCGGACATTTGTATACCATAATATGTCCCGTAAAAATTTTGACAGGCGTATAAAAATGACTATAAAAATTCAAAGTATTTAATCATGTTAATGTTCTAATGATCTAATCCATCGTATAAAATCCATATGACCCTTGAATGAAGGGATGAACAAAAGCGGTTATATACATGTATAATTGGATCTCTGAATCTGTCATGATTTATAATGCCAATCTTTGGGCATCAACTTACCATCAAGTTATTTTAATAATCATGATACTTTTTGAAATTTGAAGTCATTCAAAAATGTTTAAATTATACCAAAAGTTGAACTAGTATTTGATATTCATTGATATAAGATAATATCTGAGAAATGGACTAAACGAGACAAGGTTTGGTGGTAAATACATGTACATGTACCTTGAAAGTTGTTATTGGCTTTGAACTAGCTGTTAGCAATTGGGAGTACTCTCAGATCTATACTTAGTCTTTTTAGTTTTGGGGATGTATAAATCTGCTTTAAAAGCCCTTTTCACACCAATATCCCAGCTAAGGTGGTTGGTTTAGTACCACAAACTACTAGTCTAGCCCCACCACAACCTTTTGAATGCGTCTGTCTCATGTCAGAAGCCTGTTAGTGTTATTCAGTGGTTCAGTTTGTCGTTTGTTGCTGTTCATAATATTTTGGTTTTTTGGTTCTGTTTTTTATATATTACATTGTATAAATTAGTCTGTTAGTTTTCTGGTTTGAATTGATTTACAAATTTGGGATTCTCATATAGGGTCTTTAAAACCTGACTATGCGGTATTGGCTTTGCTCATTGTTGAAGGATGTACAGTGACCTATTGTTGTTAACTTCAATGTCATTTGATTTCTGGTGGAGAGTTGTCTTTTCTCATTGGTGTAAACAATATTTTATTTTCAAAATAATTACGTAATTTAAACATTATTATCATTACAATATGACAGATTTATTAGGATTGAAAAACAAGTGAATTTACACTTTTAAAAATTCCTCTATTTTTTCTCATTGGCAATCACCACATTTTCTTATTTTTATATTTACATTACATACATGTAAAGCAGACCTTTCATCTTCTCGAGGAGTCCACTTCCTATGTACAACCAGGGGGCCCAAACAGCATCATCATACATGATTTTGAGTCAGCTAAAAAAAGAATCAAATAGATTATGATACAATAAATAAATACATAAATTACATAATAATTTAATAATAAATAATGAATCTACAATCATATTTTAAGAAGTGAAACATCATTTTAAATCAATAAATATCATATATTAAATTTCGATTTCTTTGTATCAGTGTCTTCTAATTTCTGGGTAGATAAGTAAATACGGGCGAGTTGGCAGACCTTTATTTTTTTTATATTCTATATTCATTTGGATTTTACCCAAGTTAGGCGAGTTGCCATTGTTGACAGGAGTATATTTTACGGATTTAACCCTTTTCATAAGTGGGGCAATTTTTTTTAAAAGCGGGGTGAGTTGGTAAGGAAGCCACCACTTGATTTTTATGGGGTGGGGGCTAGGATAAGAATGTTATCCTGCATTTTTTTTTAATTGAAATCTCTGTCCTGCCAGTTAATTTTTCACTATATTTGTTCCTGGTAATTCTTTACATAAATCCTAGCTTTTTTTAACTTATAAGTTGACAGAACTCCAGTTCCGCATATTTTTCAAATAACACACCCCTACCAGTACCCCCCAATAAAACTCACATGGTAACTCCCTTAACAAGAGTGGGATATTTTTAAAAAGGGAGGCGTGTTGTTAAAAAAGTAGGGCGTTTTGCCAGTGGGTCGAGTTGACTTGCGTCCGTTCTTGACAATCTTTGACTGATTTTCGGGTTTGCATGCGATGACATTTATAAAGTCAAATTTTTTTCGTGAAAAGTATAGCACTAGCATCTTCTTAAATATGTACATGATAATATTTACCTTTCGTTGCGCTTTCCAAGTACAAAATATTGGGTACGTAATCCGTTAAGAGAAACACAACTTTCTTTCGTTCCCCGGTTTCTTCCAGTTAATCGACAAGCAATCCATTTCAATTTATCTGTTCATACTAATAACTTTTTGACCCATCGGTTTTGAAAGACCAGAGTTCTTTGTATTATCTATCTGACTATAATATATCTTTCCATTCTTTAAACTCAAGGATTTGTACAGTGACACTATACAAATCCTTGTTAAACTGTAAAACATGAATTCAGCAGCAGACGAGCGTCCATGGATTTTGCGTCATAGTATAAAAAACGGCAACGGAGAAAATATTTCCGGGTTTTCGTATTCGACGTGTCAAGCTTTCGTACATTTACGATCATTTACGTATATGAGAGTTAGTCCGGAACCCGGTCTGGAATCAAGAATGGGGAATTAAGTAGAGATAATAATTACAAAAAAGTTCAGAAGTGGTACACTGAGTATTATATGCCTTTGTTATAATCAAGGATTTGTATACTCTACAAATCCTTAATATAAGACTATGAAGAATCAGAGACATACATGTACATTCGTACATGTCTCTGGAAGAAGTGAGAATAAAGAAAAAACTAAATAAAGAATATTTAATTATTTATTTATTATTTAATCTATAACTTATTCACTTATTTTACATTTTGTTCTATTCAGAATTAAATACAAGACTGTTTGCTGAGGGGGTGGTGCCGCGGAATTATGGAAAATTGACAAACGAGGATTACTCTTATCAGAGACATATAATACTTATATGTCTCTGCTCTTATCAAGGATTTGTATATTATTACTATACAAATCCTAGCTCTAATCAGAGAAGAACTAAAGGTTAAACAGTAACTCAATAATAAATAAAATATAAACATAGGAATGCTCTTGGTTACAGAATTGGCTTAAGGAGTCTATCAGTCTTGGCGGAGACTTAAGGGGGGGGGGGGGGGGTCACTTATGTATTCATTTAAGTGCATTCGAAATTTTACTAATCGGACAGACCTTCAGTTAAGAATCCGTGTCAAGTTCTTTTGTAATCATGATTATTAGGAAACATCTTATAAGTTTTCCTACTGCCTCCTTGATTTACTCTATACAAGGTTCTACACAAGTATTATAATAGCCAGTGCTACATTATCACCCTAATCGATCCTTGAAATGGCTAAATTTTGAACTTGATCTATTGGTCCAAGGTTAAACAATATATTTTGTTTTATAATTCTCAACTTATGAACTTTGCTTGCAAATACTTTAATCACTATCTCCTATATTCAACGAAAAGCTCACCAGATCTTAGGGACGAGTCGACATCAAAAGTTCAATGTAGGATAATTCACTGACCCCCCCCCCCCCCCCCCCCTTTTCACTTAATTTGGGAAAAATTGATTTGATATATATGTAAAATTGATGTTGGATAAACAAAACTTGCAGCAATTTTTACCCACCCACCCCACCCCCAAACTATTTGATTTAAGTTTTTTTTTTATCCTACATAGATCTTATGATGTCGTCAGTCCCTTATGTTATCATGTTTGTCAAAATGTCGAATCAAATCAAAATTTTACTTACTAAATTTGCAATTATACTAAGACGTAGGTTGCCACATGTTGAGCAGCCCCGGGAAGTTCCGAACTGTTCACTACTATCACTACTTGAGTTCATTCATGTATTTTGGATGTTCATGTTGCACACAGAGGCGAATTTAGTGCACCCTGCCCCTCCCCTTTTTGTGGGAAAAATTTGATTGATTGTATAGGGATTATCACTTAAGCATGCAGAGTGGATTTAGAGGGGCCAGGGGGGGATTTGGTTGATTATATAGGAAATCACTGAAGCATGACCAGAGCGGGACCCTCACGGTTAGGCAGTCAGTGGGCCCCACTTATGAAAATATCTGGATCCGCCACTGGCATGACTAGTGAGGCCTGCTTTTTAACAGTCAGTGCCCCCACCCCCTTTATGAAAATTTCTGGATCAGTCAGTTTATGTGTAATGGTAAGTTATTGTTGTTTTATCTTTTATTCTCTGGCTTTTCTCGTTTAATTAGATTTTTGGTTATAAATTAATTTAATTGGTATCCTCTTTCAATTTCATCATTAACAATAGACCTACACCAAAAGGCCCTGTACTGTAATTTTCTATCTTGCCCAAAAATACTTTAACTAGTACTGTTTTCACAAATGCTTGCTTGAAACACAACTTAATAAAATAGAAGCACTGCAGGTAATTTGCTTTTATTCCACACCAAAGGAGAATAAATGTATGATAAAGTTATAATGTTACCGGCATTATTCTACATATATTCTGAGACTATTATAACACTATGTTATAGTCTGAGGTTATAGTAGTCTCAGATGCATTGTATAAGGGCTTTAATATAAGGGCGGGTATAAGGGACGAAGTAACACCATGTGACTATTGCATTGGTTGTCGTGATTTAAACACGATAAGAGTGTTTCCTTCCCCCTAAATCTCATGATCCTCATTCAGTCATTGAACAGGATAGAAACTACTTCAGACATCAAACAATCTGAAACTTTTCAAGTACTTTCTATATGCTCATGTGCAATTTCTTGTTAGCATAGTTTTGTACTTGGACAGATAATCAGAATGATCAACAATCAAGTATTGACAACAGTCAGGTGTATTTCCATTGGTCTCATTTGAAGAAACCAGGTATGCGCCATAATGCGGTAATTTTAATTCAGCCATGTACAATATATATATACATCCAGTCATTTTTACTCAAGCGTTACAAATAAGGTTAAATGTTAGATGTTTATATTCTTTTAACTGCATTCATGGCAATTAATTAGCCATCCATCATTAGTTGTTTGTGGGAAAGACACCAAGCACTCTTTGTATAATTCAACTTAATATTGTGAGGACAAGCTTTTAAAAATAAAATCTTTTAAAAAATATAAAGATTTTTTTTCAATTACATTTATTTCTTAATTAGGCCAAATGAAATAATATGTGTGTTTCCTATTACATCTTTGAAAAAATAGGATAGGTAGGGGATTTTTCTTATTTTACAATTTTTTTTTACATTGAGTCTATGGGCTGATGGGAGAGAAATTCTGACTTTAACAGTGCTTATTGATAAATCAAAAAAACTTTAGGGTAGGCTATTTCTAAGCTTAAAATATAGGGTAGTTGCGGAAATAAGAAACACACATATTTTTTTATTTGACCTTACATACAGGAAAAAGATATTTTTTTTAATTAACATTGTTTTAATTTTATATAATTTCACTCACAAGTTGACTCCTTTTCTAGATTTTTTTTGGAAGATATGTTTTAAAATGGTTGATGGAAAAGTACAACCATATCTTAAATTAAATAAATGGATGTTCATGATGAACATCAAGAAGCAATGAAAAAATTCAGTGTTTAGAAACTCACTATCTTTTTTATTATACATGTATGAAAGAATGAGAAAACTGTTGAATCATCGTGACTGTTGTTAAGAAGCTTTCCATTTAATTTTGTTAATTACTACCTGGGAACAGTCATGACAGTATATCAATATATATGTTCCTGTTACTATAGTCTATACACTTTTCATTAAATTTCTATAATTAACCCTTTCCTCTATAACGATGCCGCTGTGTTGTAGTGCATCAATTGAAACGTTTTCATGTACAGTTAACATTGCATTAAAGTACAAGTATTTTCTGCATTTCATTGAAAAATCCTATGCAAATGAAGTATATAAAAAAAAAATGCTCTGGAGAAAAGGATTATAAATCAGTCATTGACATTGTCAGTTAATTATTTTAATATTTCATACTTTTAATTAAATCATGTGGTCTTTTCGGAAAAAGATCACTTCATATGTACTCATATTATGCAAATATTAAAAGTTATAGGCTTGAAGCAGAGATTCACTATACACATGTACGTCTGGCATGCAGAATGTTGAAAGCAAGTTAAGAATTTTACTTTATGCATGTATTAGCCGTTGTGCATATATCATGCATGGTACTTTTACATCTTTGAATAAGATATAGCCGTAATACGGATGTTGCAGAAACGTCCGTAATACGTATGTTTAAGAAACGTCCGTGAAACGGAAAATCCGTTTTACATCAGTTTTTACACGTACGTTTTACGGATGTATTTTTACAGACGTTTTACGGACGTAACCGTATCATCCGTAATACATCCGTATTACGGATGTTTTACGGACGTTTATTACCACATCCGTGAAACGTCCGTAGCTATTTTACCTGTGTATCAATCTTCAATAATAATTTAAAAAAAAAAAATTATCTTTGAGAATTTTAGAGATTAATGTCTTTGCTATAGAATAGCAATACTAGGTTGTGTTATTATCAGACTTTAGTAAAGTACCTTTAACTCAGTGGTTGTCGTTGGAAGCTGTCTATCATTTCTGATTTTTCCTTTACCATGTTTACTGTTTTGTACTTAATCCAGGCCGTTGGTTTTGTCGTTTGAAGTGGTTTACATTTGGTCATTTCAGTGCCTTTTATAGTTTACTATACAATATGGTTTTTGCTCATTTTTGAAGGCCATGCGGTGACCTATAGGTGCTTACATTTAATTAATTTGTTCTCTGGTTGACTGTTATCTCATTGGCAACCATACATACTAGATCTTTTTTTCTTTATTTTGTCTTGCATTTCGATAGTGCAATATAGGTATAACTGATGAATTATAAAGCCAGTGATTTTGTTATGGCAAATTGATTTTACTAATTTGTTTCACTTATGCAATGGTTATTTTTTAAATTTTAGTTAACTTTGATTTTAAGCGGGTATGTGTATTTTTTTTTAACAGAAAAAACATCCTAAATGTTTCATTTACTATTTAACTTGATGATAATTTGTTTTATCGTTCTATGAATGGAAAATAAGAACAACTTTCAAATACTACTACTGCATGTACTGTGGTGAGGAGTATAATGAAGCGTATGTTATACTTGGTCACACAGCAATAAAACACCATTATAGTTTCCTTTCCATCAGTTAGCAGTGCTTTAAAAAATGAAAAATACGGATCTCTATCTAGTCATTACAATTACCAATGTATATCTACGGAACTCTGCGAAAGACATGAATTAAATACACGAGGTGTACACTATTGCATACACATTTTTTCTTATTATTACTTCAAAAGGATCATATTAAAGCTTATAGATTATTTCTATTTCATTGTTATAATATATTCCATTCAATTCATTTTTTTTTGTCAATTGGAAATAGTACAGGGGCGGATTAAGTGTTTTTTTTTTTTTTTTGGGGGGGGGGGGGGGAGGGGAGGGGGCTGGACCAAGGCCTCTCTTATAAGAATATTTGTGGTATATTGCAGTTTACTGAATTTATAAATTCTGTCCCTTTGTTTTCGTAACCCTATTTTTAAAACTCTAGGTTTCGCCACTGTAATATATATATAAATCCTAAACTAGTATTTACTGTATAAAAATTGTAGCATGAAATGATATTCAAAAGATTATGAGTCCCCTGTTCTAAGTTCTAATGACAGTTTTACAAAGAGTCCAGTAATTTCAAATATATCTTAATACTGCAAGCTTAGGTTATGGTAAAATGATATCAGAACAGAAAATTATCATTAATTAAAAAGGTTAAATTTGATCAACATAGTAATATGTTTTGTTACTTATTAGGAATATAAAATATTGCCCTTCGCTAAATTACAGTTAGAAAATAGAAAAGCTAGTTTTTAAGCCCAAGAATGCCTTTTTCCTTATTCACATTTTCTTTTAAAAAACCCGGACCATTTGTTTAAAAACCCGGACATTTTAAATGTAGCTCTCGAAAAAACATGGACAATGTAAACCACTGAATTATTAGTGAACTACAAGGAAATTGTGCGTCGTTTGTACTCAAAACATGTTTATTATTCAGAATAAGATGAACAGTCATAAATAAAACTTTTAAGCGAAATAGCAGTAAAAAAC